TGGTATGGTTGTGTGAAAGCTATGCTTTTTCAAAGAAAGGGCGTTAGGCATGGGCCGTTAACTCAAGAGGAAGAAGCTAGAAAGGAGAGACTTATACATTACTTGGCTGGCGATGAGGTGTCGTGACGGCTAGGTTTCGGTGAAGAAAGGGCTTCACTACTAGCTGTTGACTCAAGGGGGAAATTGTTCCCAGCTGCTGGTGTCAACCAGCAGCTGTTGACACCGGTGTGTAGGTAGCTTGTGAGATGGGATTACAAGTTCCAAGGAAGGCGAACGCAAATGGACTGATGGCGGTTTGCACGAACACGGGCTATCAACCCGGTGCTATTATGAAACTCATTGCTGACGCTTGCGCCTGCTTGAGAGGGCAAATGGTGTGGACTTCCTTGGTGTGCACCGAAGGTGAAACGAACACCATCTGCTGTGGAAACTGATACTGTTGAGAGCTGAAGCCAGAAGATGAAAAAACTTGCTCGACAAGTGCCTGTAATAGAAGAGAAAAGCACATACGACGCCTCTGGCAGGGCGTTTGAAGACCAGGATGCAGATGACTCTCAAGCTTGCTCTCCAAAACGCTCTTCAAAGTGCTCTCTCAAGCGCCCTTCCAAACCATCGGAAAACTATCTTGAATGAGGGAAAAAGGTGACTTTGAGCAAAATTTGACCTGGTCGGTATAAAGTTTTTTTTTAGTCTGAGAAAGGAGACCCTTGTTTGGTGAAAACAGCCGGTCCATGAAAGAATCCAAGTGAAAAAAAGCTGCTAGACTGGCTTTACTACTTAAGGCGCGTTCTCCAGCAGAGTTCCCCGGATAAACGAAGCCAGCTGACACACGATGATAAGATAGGGAGTGTGCCGTTCCTATTGGAATTACTCTAAGAAATTTTGAAAGATCATTCACAGTCATGGACAAAAACGTTTGCCAGAATGAGTATTGCTCTTTGAGACTTGAAGCAGCAAAAAAAGTGGATAATTCACACGCTTTTTGCGCTGGCGGTCGGTTCTAGGCAGCTGCAACTTTGCGTTTGCAGGAGCAGCTTGGCTAAGGAGCTTGGAGGTGAAATGTCAGACGCGTCCTAAAGCTTTCCGCTCTTGAGCACAAACAAAGTGGTGACCACCGCCCTTATGTAGCAAGGCACAAGCGAAGTCGCAGACTTCAAGCAGCCCCGTATTGCATATTTCATAAACCCTCAGAGTTGAAGATGCGTGTCGCTTGTGAAGCTGACAACCTAGTGGAACACAAGCAGGACCAAACCTTCGAGACCTTTTTTAGAAAGCTCTTCATACCGGGCTTTGAAGTATTATGGATTAGATTCTCTTGGAGACGCACGTAAGAATTCACATTGGGGCAGTCAAAACTGGCCAACAGGATCGTTAGAAACCCTCATAGCCGAACTAACACACATCAGCACCATCCAAGCCTGTCCGTAATCCTATTGCGCCCTTAAAAGCTGTCTCTGCTCTGGCACTGGGCCCCTTACCACTTTGATCAATTACTTTATTTCGGGTAAGCTCAATCTGGAGTCCCGATCATCGTTCACTAAACACAAAGTGCTTCCACATCAACATTTACCTTGGAAGTCCATTAATATAGCTTGGGCTTTAGGCTCGACTTTCTCAGCTGTCAAACTTGCCCTGAGTTGCCGGAGGATTGCGTACCTGTGCTACTGCTAATCTATCTGACCCCTCAGTCCAACCTCGAATGATTCAGGATGCATTTTTCCAAAGAGAACAAGAAGGTTACTAAACACATTCATTTCACGCTAACTCCAGGGAGCTCCGCTGAAAAAGCTGGAGGCAAGAAGAAAGATAAGGTAAGGTAGCAATCAAGACTTGCCTTATTCTGCCCAGGAGACGTCAACCCTGGGCTTGCTTCACTAGTCTCCCCTCTACTTCTAACGCTATCTGTCCACTGAATAGGGGGCCTAAATGCCGGGACAACCAGAGGGGGGAGCATGCTTGCTGGCATAGTGTGCCTCCTCTGAGGGAGGGTCCTGGTAGGGCTGCCAGAGGAACCCCCCAACCCTGAAGAAAACCCTGCTGCAGTGTCTTCTGACGCTAGCAGCTCAGAGGCCGCTTGAGCTCGAACCTCGACAGGCGCCCTGTGCCGCCTACCGGGCAAAATCGCAGCTCCAGCTTTTGAGGAGCGAAAAGCGTCCGAGCTTCCATCTGCATACAGTCTGGACTTGTCCGAAGGACGAAAAGCTGAATTTCTGGAACTCTGGCCAGCATATGACTGTGATGAACCCTGGATGTGATCGAGCTGCTTAGAGCCACTGGTGGGGCCTCCCTCCTGCGACGTCCAATTCTCTAAAGTAGAAACGTTCATGGTGATCACGCAACATCATAAGCAGCACTCTTCCTTCTTCCGGCGTGCATAACAATGCTACCTGGACTTGCAGCCTCATCCATACTTTTGCCAGCATCTACAAGTTGCTCCCTTCAAAACCCACAAGGATACCCCTAGCCGGGGGCCCTCGAATTACCAACTACCTTTGGAAGAGGTTTTCCCCAATCCAAGGCAGGGCCGCCTGGCCGACCATTACTATTAGGGATTTTTCCTTCGTCTCTCCGTTGGCTCCTTTGCTACTCTAGAAACGTGACCTTCACAGCTCAGCCTCTCCTCCCCGCAATGCAGCGAACTAGGATTCTGGGCATTGGATTGGACACCATGAATCATGATTCAATTTCAACTTGTCTCGAGGATCACCATGTCAGATCATCATGTGCCATCGGGACATGTGAGCGCGGTACCTTATGCGGTGCCATGGAACCTGGGTACCAGGTTCCGACCTAACTGCAGCTTTTGTTGCAGAAGGTACATACCGCTCAGTCTCAGACTCAGCCTTGGTTGCACCGGAGAATGAATACCGGTTGCCTGTGGTATGAACGTGTCAGACGGAGCTTTCAGGTAGCACCTGGGTTCCGAGTCTGCCTTATAGGCCGGTGGTCAGTGAAATATCCCATGACCCCGCTGCCGTCTTCCGAGCCTGTCCCGATCTCCGACCCAGTTTCGTACACGGACATGCCAACTTGGGAAATTCGGTACCAGGGACACCAGTACCGAATCACCGATCTCTACGATTCCATGTCCCAACTGTAATTTCAGAAGTGTTCCGAATCCAGATACAGCGAGCGGTTTGCCTCCGAGAAGATCGGGACCGAGATTCGAGGATCTGGAGCTTAATTTCTCGTAAACCGCATCCGTACATTAAGTCAGGTATTACTTAAATTCTGCATATCAAGGTTGCCGGCTTCGGTTAGAAGGGGGGTTTGGCTCTGGTTCTCCCGAAAAGTCGTCAAGGACCAGGAAGGTTGAGTCAACCCCGAAGTCCGTACTCAACATCCCAAAGGATTTGACGACGGTCGATGTTCCACCGGCGAACCCAGGTTCCAGCTCTAGACCATGACACATTGTACTGGGCCCCCGCGGTACGGTACCGACTTCCCCTTCGTCACTTGTGCATGTCCAGCGAGCGAAACTTACCGTACCTACGTTCCTACCTTGAACTAGGTAGGTACCCAGCTGGGTACCTAATTCAAGCTAGGTAGGTAGGTAGTAGGTACCTACCAATGCATTGGAACCTGTCTACGGTACCAAATACGGTAGGTACCTACCTAGGTACTGAAGCCAAAGCCGCGCCCGGCGAAAAGTACCTGTCAGCGGATGATGAGCACTTTGTACTCTGGGCCGCCCTTTTGCTGTAACACGAAACAGGTACCGTGCGGTGCTGCAACAATCATACCGGTACGGCGGTACCTACCTCCGATGCATCAGAGTTGGCAACTTGGCCGAGTTGGCTGTGTACCTATTTCACTAACGGTATCCCACGACGTACCGTTTTAGGTAGGTACCTACGGTAGCTAGGTTGGCGGCCCAGGGGCCGCCAGGGCCCAGAAGGGAAGGGGGGCCATGCAAGTTGCGCAGCTTGTGCAGTCTGATCGACGAAACACAAGTACCGTACCAATTGTCCGGTTGGGCAACAATTAGAAATTGTTTGACTTGCCCAAAAATCTGAATTGAAAATAAATTCCAATCAAATATTTGTAGATCGTTTTGCTCCGTAAAAACACAAAATAGATGGATAACTGAAGCTAGCTGCCCAAAATCCATGAGATACGAAATTAATTATTGGGCAAAAATCTGCCCAACCGGACAATTGGTACGGTAGGTACCTAGGTACCATACCTACCAACTTCCAAGTACCAACAGAAGGTAGGTAGGTACGTACTGCAGGTTGAACAAAGACAACATGTGGCGGTGCGTACAAGTGCGTACCAGGTCCTCTAACTGTCGCGCAAGCCCGCTGTAGTCTGTACTGGCATCATGACATGGCGGAGGCTGTACCGACAGCCCATACGTAGGATAGGCATACTTTTGTCCCGTATTACTAACCGGGTGGCCGGTGGTCAGAGTTGCAAGTCAGGATTGGCCGATCGGGTTCATGATGGTGATCCGTTGCCGTTTTACGGGAGTCGGGAGTCGTCGGGACATGCTGTTGCATGAATGATGACTAGCGTTGTGAGAACGGTACGCGACTACGGTAGCCCGTAGATAGGTCCTGCCCGGGGGACGATAGTCGGGTTTGGTTAAATCTTGGGGTTTATGCAGGTTTATGTTGCGGACCATTGTTGACCGCGTAAGAGTTGCCCGCCCGCGGGCCTAGCTCAGGCTGAGCTTGCAGGGAGCTTGCCAGTCGAGCTTGTGTGATGTAGGTACCTACTTGCCGTAGTCCTATGACCTGTGCCATGGCACGACTCAAGCAGGTGAGAAGGATGTACGATACCTACGTTCTGCCATGGCGTCGAGATATCAAGTATCACTGTGCCTTTCAATATTCCGGTGGCCTAGAGCCAGCGCTCGAGGATGTAATGATATAGGTAAGCCACATGATGGGATGCTAATATTCGGAATCCTTAAAACATGCTCGAAGGTGCTCGCATTAAGGCCGACTTTGCTTACGACCAGGAAACATGCAATCGGACATCACATTGCCATTGCTCCCAAGTATTGATGATTATTTTTGTGACGGTACAGAGCATGCCAGTCGACCGACTGATATGACGCAGTGGAGTTCGCCTTGGAAAAAGGTCCAGATCATATGTACATGTAAGATTTGCTCAACCAAGTGACCCGAAGAAACCATGAGCCAAGTCCCTTGGTAGCCACCACATTGCTGCACCGCAGACTCTTATCCGCCACGCCTACCACGTGGTGTAGAAAGGCAAAAGGGCTCTGACAATTGCCTGATACCTCAGCTACGGTGAGTCTAGCTACCTTTATCCAAAGACAAAGCATGTACTGCAATCTTCCAGAGTCGACTTCCAAAGTCGCCGATGTCAAGTCAGTCAAGTGCCTAGTCGGGATAGAATCAAGAGCCCGGCCACAGATAAGCATGTGCCGGCAACAACCGCCACAGTTATTGCAAATGCAAAGATCTGATTTGGCAGGTTCAATGCCTTTTGTAGTCGTTTTAGGAAGCGATCGACGAAAGGGGCAGCCGCAGCGGCCGCCGTGACTCTAAGAGGCCGGGTGACATTGTTTGACGTCCACATAAGTACGACAATCTGCAACACAATATTGTACGCTGTGAGACCACGAACGAGGGTCAGAACGCGTTGCTGCGGCCATCTCGATACTTAGGGCTGCACACTACTGGGAACCGCGGGGGTTTAGTGGCTCCATGCATCAAGTCCGGAAAAGGAAACTCGTTGGCAGCCATGGTCTGCATCTTCTTCAGAAGCCGTCAATTTCCACGAGGGACACCGGAGAGGTATTGTGTGTGGTACTTTCAAGAAAGCACGATGCCAGTAGGCTGTCCTGTGCTTAAGCAGTCCGCCCTCTCGGTTCTGACTAGACCAAGCGGGAATGAAAAGGGGTTTGAGAGCGTGGATCCACAGAACATGGGGCGAAATACAACCAAGACTGCATACTTCGTGCTTTTAACCCTTGAGGATCATGTACACCTTTACACAGTAGACTTTAGAAAGCAAAGGGATGCTGCAGGTAAGCTTTCAGAGCTTCGCACTCTGCAACAGAGACGCACGAGAAGTTCAAGCCAGGGCGCGTTGTTGGCCAGCGCAAGTACCAGCAACAGTGGAGTTCGGTTGTGCCTTCGCCTTGGAAAGGTTTATGGTCATGTTTGCGATTCGTTTAAGAGGTTTGACAAGAGGTATCCAGCTACCACTTTCGGTCATCAGTGTGGGACAGTGTGAGACTACAAACGGCAGAGTCTGCTGTTAAAGCGCAGCGAACCTGACCGCCAGTCTGCTCTGCAAGTCGAAAAAGTCAATCTGAAATCTCCTGAGAGCTACGTTACTGAAGATCGGTTGACAAATTGGCGTTCGAACTTCGTTACGAAAGAAGTAAAGGGAGAAGCGACGCGATGAGCATAATCGTCTCCTCCACAGAAATCGGAATGAGATCAAAATGCGAACATGCTCTTCCACGTCAAAACCCGTTCAGTCCCAAGTTATTCGACCCGCAGTTATCAACCAAGTCAGACGAGGGCACACGTCAGTCTTTCAGGAAGTTCACGAGAGTCTACCGGTCAGAAGGCTGGCTATGCGAACCGGCCGCAAAAAACCGCCATTCATTCTCGAAAGCTTGAAGCGAACGGAACTCCGATACGCTTGCAATTTCTCAACCTCGCATGACGGTTTCATTCCATGTACTTCGAACTCGTAGTTCGGGTTGCAGACAAAGTAGAATCGAGCCCTTTTAAAGTACAATACCGAAGCGAGCAAGAAACTCACCCCGAGTAGCGACTTCAGGTTTCTAGCGGGATTGAGCCCCGTGCTCTTTTCGTACCCCAGAAAGGCGAGAGTAAATGCGACCGTATATGTCACGCCGTCAAGGAGGCCGTACGCCAGGACTGCGGCCAACCCCAGCTTTGCAACCCGTGCGCGCGCAGCCTTTGCGTCCATCTGCAAACGAAGGGTTAAGAACGGCGGTTAAAAAACGTTTGGAAGGAACCCCTTAGCAAAGTGACTATAGCCTTCCCTTTTGGATTGCAAGCTGCCGCAACGCCAATGATGCAGGGAAGCAATGATCTGCATCAGAAATTATTCTCACTAGACTCATGATTGGTGTTTGATTCCTGGTGGCGAAGACGTGAGAAAGTTTTTTCACTATTTCCTCAGATTTGGAGTGTAATCTTGCAGCTTAAAGGAAGGCAGGCAAAGTAGACTCTGAAAGGTCCTGACTCACGGGAGCTTTTACTACGGAAGTTTCTGTGGCGATTTGCACCACAAGCAGGGCCAGTCTGAGCAGTCTGACATGGCTCTGGTTCACACCAACCGTATTTGATGGGAAGGATGATCGAATATTGTCGAAATGTACAGAAGCGAGCTAGGGCAGATTTCCTAGCTACAAGTGCCAAAGAGAACCCGTCTATAATTGTCTTCTGAGAGAGAAAACCCAAAAGCGTCTTTCCAAGTCTTTAGTGCCCTGTTACAACCCCAGCAGTAGTGGGAGGTGGACCTCATTCAAAAGTAACGGGGTGTATCAGGGTCCACAATTGACTAACCGGTATACAGCAGATACTGAAGCTGCATATGGAGATTGGTTTCTCCAAAGGTCCGATCCTGGACTCGAAAATGAGACGAGGACGCAACGAGGAGCAAGTATTCACAATCAACAAGGAATGACGTTTTCATGGATAAAGAGGGCTTACCTGCAGGTTTTGGAACCAGCCTTTGAAACCACCTTCCTGCAATGGGACACATTCAGGCGGTCAGAATTTGCCAATCTCTTTGACAGACTTCTCAATCAGGGGATGCGCACATTTGCGTTACAGAGTATAAGGCTGATGCCCTTCACACAAGTCTAATTCACAATCTGTGGTTTTGTGGGCAACCCGGGGGAGCCTGCTTTGGTTTTAAAGTCACAACAAGTGAAGTTTGCGCCCATCGCTTATCCCACTGGCAGGGTCTCCTACCATCAGTGGTTTACTTACATTTGTCCCAGGACAAAAACAGAGCCACGCACACAAACATTTGCTCAGCTGACCCACTTGCTAACATGAATTTCCAAAAGTATCAAGGGGCATTGATTGAGGCCTTCGCTTTGACTGAGGGTTTCTAAAGGGCCTTGGGGCTGTAACAGTTGAGCTGGTTTTGAGGACTGTTTGACTTACCAAAGGGGAAACGAGAAGGCAAGGAAGTGGAGAATCACTATCCCGAATGTTCAACCTCAGCGAGGCGCATCGTCGGCCAGGGCACTTGCCTTTGAGCGTGGTACCTGCTCTTCGCCCCCAGTCTTTGGAACATTCATCCCCTCTATCCTCGCACTGTCGTCCTCTGGAGCCACGCCCCCTGACGGAGCCCCAATTGCACAAACTTGCGAAGGTCGCCTCTGTTTTCGCAATCTCTCTATTCCGTGTTCACCTCTCCTAGAAACTGGATTGCAGACTGCGACAGACTGTCTGCTTGGAGGGAACCTTGGAGACGGAAATTCTGGACCTCGGCATTGGGGGCTGTGCCTGCTCATGATAAATTGTTCAGCGAAGCAGCAGCTCTTTGCTGCCAAAGTCTGGGCCATGCTGGCGAGAAATTGAAGCGAGGCGGGTGGTGCCAACTGGGACAGCGCAAGCTACGTGGTTTTGGTCCCTCCTTACAAGCATTTATACAAGTTACAAGCGCTGCACGGTGCACCATGAAAGCGCATTGAATTTGAAGTACTGGTATTTCCAAGATGCAGAACTGTGTGCACAAGAAGAGCCGATGGTTTTGACACACGAGTGTTCATATCGACGTGAAACGTTCGATGATCGGAAAGTGGTGTCAAAGGTGCATAGGCGTCGAAGCCCAAGCTTGGAGCACCTTCGAGCACTGAGTCTGCATTGCGCTTGAGGGACCCTTGAAAACAGCAATTGTGGCGGCTGATTGTGGCGCACACAGTTTGTTGACATCACTCCTCGGAGTCCTGGAAGAGCTTTGCTAGAACGTTGCACCACTGTGGGCCAGGGCCCAGGGGCGGGGGTGGTCCTCTTGAGGATCTTTGCGGTTCTGCTGGGCAAAGCATGTGAGAAGAGGGATGCTGCGCGCATAAGCTGGCAGCATTGCTTCTCTGAAGTGCACTGAAGATTCTTCGCAGCTGAGAGTCACAGCCTGCATTCAGCCCTGCTGTGCACGAAAGCGCGCCCAACACCCGAAAGACACCTCCCCTTGCTATTGGGTGGTTGGGTGGTGAGGGGATATCTGGAGGGTACTGTGGGGGGCAACAGTCAAATCGGAAGGATAGCAGTAGAGCTTGATTGATGGCTCTCAGCTGGTCCTCTCAGCATTTGGCAGGGGTGCAGCTCCGGCTCCCTCAAACTGACACTCAGCTTAAACATGCGGCCAAGCGCACCTGCGAGGGACGCCAAATTCTGTTCCACACTATCCCACAAAATGAGAAGCTATGGAGGACACGTTTTTCTGGGGTCAATAGCAGGGCAGCTCCTGCGGGCCCTCAATGTGTAGCGGAGCAAAGGGGGTCGAGAAACTATCCATGCAAGGGGAGCACGTCAGAACACCAAGCACAAAGCAGTACGGCAGCGCCGCAGTCTTCTTTTCCTAGTTGCGAGGACGGGCCTAGCAGCTTCCCCCCGTCGAATAGTCCCCCAGCCCCCACCAATGAGCTCTTCTTTCACAAAGTCCTTCGAAGCGCTCTCCTAGCTATCCCTCTGCTTTTCCTTCTGTCGGCCTTCGCCGGCCCCGCATTTGCGGTCCAGCCGGACCCCCCTCCTTTGAACACCATAATCGTCCCCCCAGGCGGCGGGCACCTCAGCCTCGGACAGAGAATTGCTGTCGCCCTCCGGTCTCTTGGCCTGCCGGACTGGGTCACGATTATCTTGGTGGCTGCCCTCCCAGTAGTAGAGCTCCGGGGTGCGATTCCAGTTGGTTACTGGTTAGGCCTTAAACCCATCCAGGTGTACGGGTTAGCGGTCCTTGGCAACATGCTTCCAATCCCCTTTGTCATCGCTTATGTCGGCAAGGTCTCCGACTGGCTCGTCCAGCGCAGCGGCCTTGCCAAGAAGTTCTTTGAGTGGCTCTTCAAGCGCACGCGCAGCCGGGCTGACCTTCTGGTTAAGTACAGAACCCTCGGGTTAACCTTGTTCGTGGCTGTCCCGCTGCCGCTGACTGGGGCATGGTCTGGGGCGATTGGGGCACATCTTCTCGGGTTGCCATTCTGGGAGTCGATCGCGGCCAACCTTGCGGGGGTCATGATTGCTGGGGCGATCGTGACGGCGTTGTGCGAGCTCGGCTATGCAGGCGCATTGATTGCTGGAGCGGGGCTGTTCACGGCTGCCATTGCTGCGTTCTGGACGAGCCGGCGCAAGAAGGCGGCAGGAGAAGAACCGGTAGTGTAAAAAGTGTTTGTGTTTGGTCATGCAGTGATCAGGTTGTTGGACAAAGAGAAGACGAACTTGATCAGTTGCCAAAGTGTGGTTAAGCTGCGCAACTTGTCCTTGGACGTCTTCTCACTTGCAGTGATCAAGTGTGTGGATCACTCTCTGCGTGGTGTGTAAGCGGTTTGAAAAGTTGGTTAAGCGCGTCCTCGTACACTGGCTCATGACACAGAGCAAGTTGCGTCATGTGCATCATCATGGTATAGTGACGTGCACTTACTGGGCTATTGAGAAAGCACTGCCGCCAACTTCGTCCAGGCTCACTTGTTATGCTAGGGTCGTGTGTGCAACTGAATAGCTAGGCCCATGGATTCGCGCGGCTGATATAACTAATCATTGGGATCCTGTATATGTGTTATCCTTAAGTCCAGGCCTGACCGGCCGCTAATTGTCTTCACAGGGTCCTGATTGGATGTCGAACCGGCCATTCAGCAGAAGCCATGCATGAACTTATTGCATCCGTCTCGCGGGTTTGCAACGGCCCATCCTGTCGAGTCTGTCAATCACAAATGTGCCCTGGTACATCGTATCAAGCCGTGTATATAAACATGCATCTTCTGAGCGTGGATTAAGACTTGTGCAAATTGGTTAGGTTAAGCGGGATGGCCAAGTGGCTACGTTCGTCGATGTAAGAACAGTGATACTTTGTATGTGACGACATGTTGAACGGATGGCAGAAAACCGCATCGTCAGGTTGCCACCGAGAGCCCCAACTCCTCAGTTCGATAAGAGCCGAGATCGCTTGGTGACGCTGACTGCTCCTGCCATGGCCGCTTATTGGTTGCAGGGGTGGCTCTTATGCCCTCCGTCGTTACAAAGTAGGGAGCAGTCCCCGCCCGTAAGGAGGGCGACTTGTAAATGTGCCCGTAACGCTGCCCTTCCATCCAGAACAGTATGACGCGGTTCGTGCACGCATGGGACCAGCTCTCGCCTGCAGTAGGCGAATAGCATCGAGCTCTCAACCGATTCTTATGGCAGCTTCCACTCAAGAGCGAGTGGGATGGGAAGAACTGACTTGACTTCGGACCAAGAAAGTAGGAAAAATGACTCGTATTCAGGTACGAGCTTTCTGGGTTGCTCATTCCGGGCGCTCAGCAATGTGAAGCTACGGCTTCACATGTCATGTTGTCGACAAAGGTGCGAGAGCGTGAGGTCAACAGAGCAGGGTAAGGCCGCTTGCTTCTGCTTGATCATAGTTAATTCAGTCTCAAAACTGATTTTCCCGCTGACCTTGCAGAGACGGTCGCTACACATCCCGCATCATTTAGACAGGCACAGGAGAAGTGCACAAGGAAGCAATTTTCGAAGATAAGCTTCCACAGATAAAAAACAGGCTGATACATGACTTTGTGATTAAAGGGCAACGAAGGTCACTTCCTAATTTCCACGGATCACGTCAGGGCGAAACGAAAGCATGGAGTGGAACGATGGAACTGTTCTTATTATCGAACGGATAATACGAAGACAGGAAAAAGAGCGGGGTAGCTTGCCTAGAGCCGGGACGAGCTTCGACTGGTTCTGCCCCACAACCTTGGTCGTGACTTGGTTCACGAGAACGACCTGCGCCCGATTTGAAGGATCAGCAAACCGCATCTCAAGAACCCCTTGATACTTTGGTACCCGTAACCGCGAAGATGCCTAGGGGCGGTGGCTCTGCGCTCCTTGCGAATTGCACCTGTTAGTTGTTCAGCACAATGGATGCGAACCCGCGGTTGCGACAGATCAATGAGAAGATGGGCCACAGGCGAACAATGAGTGATACGAGGTCCCTGATCTGACGCCTTTTAGTGCGTACTTGTCGACTATAAGCGATGCGACGGCTCCTTTGATGTGCTTTCGTACATCTGCTTTAGGCACCTTTTCGGAGCGCATTGTTGGAGCTATTTCTTCCGAGATGCCTCGTTTAGAAGTATTGCAAACTCTTTGTGAGGTTGACCGCGCTCTAACCCAAACGACAACAGCTTGCAGCCGATCGACTTACCGCGACGTCGTGCTTCTCCGCGAGCAGCATGAGCTTTTGTGACATCCCGTTGAGGACGCGCGTGCGCAGCGCCATGTCGTCGAAGTCTTGCCGGAAGTGGAACGTCACGCTGTCGATGATCAGAAGCCGGATCTGCGTAGGAGATTCAGAAGGGTTCAGGGATGAGAATCGAGGGTTTCGAAAAGCAGTGATTTGCACCCATTTCATCAAGCAACTTGCGGGATCCCTTCCCCTGTATGTTTTCATTCCCCTGCATTCTGCCCGAAGAAAAGGTCGCCCCGTGGACGACCTGCAGTCGGATCTGCGAGGGTGTAGGGGTGCTGAAAGATTCAGGCTTTGAACAATCTGTAATCAATTTTCACCAAGAAAATGCGATATGCAGTGTCTCCCGTCGTGCATTTGCGCTCCGCCTGAGATTATGCCAGCGGAAGCATGTCTCGCTGTTTTTAATCAGCAGCCAGGTTTGCGAAGTAAGGGGGTTTGAACTTTTAGGACTTTAGAGATTCTGCCAGTGAATGACATCAAGGAAAAGAAACCTCACACTGTCCATCTAAGTCTCCGTGTCCCTAGGTTTTTGCCGGAAGTGAGATGTTATGCTGTCAATGACCCGCAGCCGAATCTGTAGCGGAAGTTCGACGGCGCTTGAGCGGGCAGTTTGGGAAGTTCCTCTTGCTGCAGACAATCCTCGACTGTCCGGTCGATAGAAGATAAAGAGTCGGAAGGCTCGACACAGGATTGCCGCAATATCAGGGATTGGACAGAAAGTAAGTGGCATTCCAGAGCCGTTCTACCAGAAAAGAATACATCTCGCATGTGATGGATGCTGCAGCTTGTTTTTCGATCTTGAAAGACAGGGACGGTATCACGCCAGTTGAGCACAGGAGCAGGGACGCTCCTCATATAGGGCAATCCGTCCCACTTTGAACGTCTCCTTCCCACCGCTTTGCTCACATTCGCTCAATCGCATCAAAAACCAGTTCACGGAAAACCTCGCTTCCTTCGAACATACAAGATGAGATCCACGTTCCAAAAGGGTAAGATTCTTCTCACCTTCCAGCAGTCCGGGGTCATGCGAGACTTTTCTCCTACGAGTCGTTCAGTCCCTCCAGCCAAAAGGGTACCCTCCCCCTCCCCAGCATACATGATCCTTCAAACTTCCTAAGTAACACAAATTATGGACTCCTTCCAGGCAAAGGACGTCAATCGCGCCATCCCTACCTTCGGATGCTAATCCTTCCAGCCGTGCGGAAACGTTGGCTCTTTCCAGCCTTACAAGACCATTCACCCTCCCAACAAACAAAAACTTCGCCAGCCTTCCAATCACACGACATCAAACACGCCAACCCCACCTTCGGATGCTGCTTCAGCAGCTGCGGCAGCACGTTGACGACCGCCAGCTGTTCCGTGTAGTCGTAGGCCCTGTAGTAGTGGATGCTCGAAAGAACAGTCTCGGCGCTCAGCCCCGAAGTGCTGGCCTCCAGGTGCGGCTCCTGTGCGGACAGGGCCTCCCGCCGGACGTCCGCCAGCCACGCGTCCGCCATCTCGAGCACGCGCTCCACCATGAAGCTGCCCTCCGTATCTGGCGACAGCGACAGGAGAGGGTTCACATTGGGCTTTCAATCAACTTTCGCTTTGTTTTGAGATGTACCCAGATGACGTGGTGTGACGTTGTACCAACGAGTTCCGAAGTTGGGTTCACATTGGGAAAACCCCTGTCGAATGCATCACCAGTTTCACCAGAGACCACGTGCGATCACGTGGTTGTACAAACTAGTACACTTGGTACATTTTGACGTCATAGCTTTCGGGCGAACCGCGCGGAAGGCGAATTTGAGCCACTCGATCGCCGAGACGGGCGTCACAATCGTAAAACATGTTTTCGAAAGGCGGTCGCCGACCGCCTTTCGAAAACATGTTTTATCGAGGACCTTTTGGACCGATCCTCGATGCCGAAAGCGTTTTTTGGTTCGAAACATTGACCGTTGGCAAAGCGCGTTCCGGACCATGACGTGTGCTTCCGTCATTGCAGTAACTCCGTGTTTTCGAAGGAGGATAATCTATTCCGGAAAGTCCAATGTGAACCCTCTCCAGTTATTTTTGGGTTTTGTTAACTATGTTTTGGCTTACCAAGATTTTTAGCCTGTTAGGTTTCTGGACAAGTGCTATCCGTGTGTTAAGCGTAAGCCATCTCGAGCACGGGCTCCACCATGAAGCTGCCCTCCGTGTTTGGGGTAAGGATTCGGTTACGATAAGGGGAGGGGTTAGGATGAGGATGTGAAGGCTATAGAGCTGTGGATTCTGGGTTTAGATTAAAAACTCTCGGGAAATTGGCGTCCGCCTTCTCGAGCAAACGCTCCACTATGAAGCTGCCCTCCGTGTCTGGGGATTGAGCCGTTAGGGTCAGAATCGGGTTAGGGCAGGGTTGGGGTTAGGGTTTTATGGTTCTGGAGATGTTAAATCTGGGGTCTAAGACTGACATTCCTGAGAAACTGGGGTCTACCAATCTCGAAACACGCTCCAACATCAGTGTCTAGCAGAGGAAGGCTCTAGGATTCTGGCTCTGGGTTGTCGGGTTGTCTGGTCAACGTCAAACCAATTTCGGTCCAATGAGCGAGGCGTCTGCCTTCTCAAATATCGGCTCCGCCAAGATGTGGTGTCTTGAACAAGTAATGCTTCCAAATTTGCAGCTTTTCCGGAATGCTTACGAAGACAAAAATGACTGGAAATGGCACTTGAGCGATACGACAAGCGACAGCAAGGGACTTCAAGATCCAAGGCGGGGAAGAGAGGGAGAAGCAGACAGCAGAATAACCAGAAGGCAAAGCACCTTGAAAGGACGTCCTTTGGCCAGCGAAGGTCACGCGGGATTCCCTCAATAACGATGCTGCCCATGGGTTTGGCAGTGTTCCAATCGACCGCCAGTTTTCAACTCGATAAATAACTTCGTCAGTGTAATTGGATCGCTGAAAAGCTCTCCGATACACGCACAGGGTGCCTTGGCACCACAACGGAGCCAAACCGAGCTAGGCCACTGTTCAAGGCCGGTTTGCACCAAACAGGGCCCGATTCCGAAAAACCGGCTCCGAATTGTTAACATTGGTGCCTGTTTCGTGCAAACCGGCCTCAGACAGGGGGCCTAGCTCCGATTCTCTCACAGCTGATACGGAACGAAACGCTCCGTTTCGGCCCTGGGATTCATCCGCTGCTGTTCATGGGATGCAGAAAGGGACTGATTTTAAAAGAAAGGCTGCCCGGCAGAATCCTGACTTCGGCCATCATTTGGTACGACGAGGGAGCTTTAAAGTGACGAAAGATCTGAACAAGAAGAAGATCACGATCCTGTAATCTTGCTTGGAAGGGCTAAAGCGGAGCGTTTCGATTCAAGAGCAACTGAAACACCCAGTCGGCAAGTCCCGCGAGGGATCAATTTGAGAGTACCCAAATCCCGTGGTAACATTTCTCACCAATGTATACTGCCTCCCCAGCGAGTCCTCCCAGCTCCTCTGGCCGCTGCACCGAGATGGCCAACTGGATTCTGCACCACAAAGACACCTAACGGACCCCTTAGCAGCTGTAACTCCACACCATCAATTTGGTACAAATAGGTGTGAGAACCACATTGCGTCAGCTTTGGACCTCGGATCTGTAACAATGTGGACGTGTTTGAATTTCTTTCGATGGCTTTCGGACACCAATACTACGCAACTCTGTGTTTTGAAACTCGGCAAGCAATAAACAATGGTATTCCATGCAAGAAGAGAGTAACGCAAAGCAGACTCGGGCCGTGCAGGAAACAGAAGTTAGAAGGTGCTGGTGAACGGGTCAATGGAAGATAGGAGGTGGTGCAAGGGCAAAATTTTGACGCACCCTAGTTGTGTCTTCCCAACGCCTGGCACGCCGCCTGCAGGAACAATCTGCTGATCAGCTGCCACTGATCAGTCGTCCTTTCAATAGAGAGTTATTCAGGACAGATTACCACTTCTGGTGGAAGAGTTTGATGGCCATGCAATCAGAAAACATGTTGGGGTGCATAATCTTCCTTCTGGTGGACTTCAGTTGTACTGGAAGCAATCAACATGCTTGAGATGCGGCTGCTACAGTACATCTTTCAGACCCGCCCATGACTGGGTGCTAACCTGTTGACAGCTTAAACAAACTCGCAGATTTGTACAGCGTTTCGTGTCATAGGTGCGCTAGAAGGAAGAGACTTTTGCTGCGTACAAATTTCAGTCACCTCCTGTGGACTGATCCCCCCTCCCAAGATCTCGTCCAGCGTCTCACAGCAGGTTGTGATCCTCCGGCGCTTCTTCTCAATCTGCAAGATCTGCAACGCTGACTTGGCACCTGCAGGGCAAAGGTTTCACAAACCTTGAAACTAATAATTAAGGCTGTTCAATCTTCAGTGTCGCCACAGACAGCCTGTGTTACCTCACAATTTCGCAGCAAGGAAATGGTACGAAAGGGACAACATACTTGTAAATGAGCAGAACAGTGAAAGGCCTCCGCAATGGAGAGAGTCTGTCCAAAGAAGAAGATACTACATTCCCAGATAAAGGACAAAGTGCGCTGCATTGAGAAGAAGAGGGCCAGGACTCACCAGCCATTGCGCCATTGTCTCCAGCTGGATTGACCACCCGCAGGATGTGGAGAGCTTCTTCCTGGCTCAGGCCACTTTCTGCAACAAACAGCTTTGCTTCTCAATATTGGATGCAACGACGCTCAAGGCAAGTCATGGGGAGAGTCCCGTTGAATTGCTCCTTTCCCCTTTCTGTCGCCAAGCTCACCACCAGTCTTCAGTCAAGCCAGATATGCAAGTATGATCGAAGAGAGAGCTGCGGTTCCATGAGTTTTATCAGAGTAAATCAATTGATGTCCAAGCCATCAATCCAACAATACATCAATCCATCTGATCATTCCTCTAAGCAAGGAGTAGTGTTTGACACGGGCTGCATGTTGTTGGATTGATGGATTGATGGATTGAATTAGATGATCAATCACGTGGTTCGTAGGCTGATCATTGCGAACACTTCAGATACACTTACTCAATCACCACCACCAAACTGACTGTCATCAACACAATGATTGAAGCAATCTCAAGAGCCAGATAGTAGACTCCTAACACCTCTGACCCTGCGACTGTGTATGGGATACATCTTTCCTGAATCTTGCCTGCAATGGCAGCATTTCTATTGCATCAGAGCAGAACTTTGCTCAGCTGACCGACATCATTGAAAGTAACCACCAAATACCCCTCAACCGGAGGGAAAATCTGGTCAATTTTGAAAGAGCTTGGTCACCTGGTAAAAACAATAATCACCTTTTGCAAGCTCCACGGCACTGATCTTTCTCAGGTCTGCCAACCTGCGGAACCCTGCGGCAAACAGCTTTGCACGGGACGAAGGCGGGATGGGCAGAGCGGCTGTGTCCATCTATGCACTTTGCAAAAGCTCGTCAATTGACTAGACCTTTGAGCAACACACAATGCTGCTGGATTTTCAAGCTTCACGGCGCAAACGGACTTAATTCCCTGTTTGCTGATGACCTCCAGGCTTATTTGCTTCCAGAGAAGGATTGCACAAGAAACAGAAGCTCCTGTGTTCGATCTCTGTTATTTGGGGGAAAATTTCTAGCTGGAGAGAAACACAAGGTCCTGTGTTCGATCCGTGTAGAGTCGGTTGACGTGACCAACGATGAGCACAACTTCGAAGCGGATGCCCGAGGGAAGGGGAGCTTAGCGTCCGTCCGATATACCACCTGGCCAATCTGACGGTGATTGTGTGAGCAGTCCCTTGCCACCAAACGAATGGAAAGACGACAAGTGTCACAATGGCAAAAATGGCGGGAGAAACGCGCAGTGTATGGGCTGCGTAGCAACTCGAAGCTCGGCCTCTGGCACTTCAAGTTTCATTAGTCTTCAGAGCTACAGCGAAGAAGCAGACGTTCCAAGGCGCTTTGGCATACTTTCAGCCTTCCTTCAACGTGCAAAGGCATTCGAAAGAGATAGGATCTGTTTGCAGGTGAAGCATTTTGCAAGGAAGTTGTTCAGTAATTGATCAGGTAGCTGACTTTATTTAGTTGGTTGGTGCGGGTCCCTTTCCTCAATCTGTTCGAACTTCGCTCAAGAATTGCTACAACACGATTCGAGAATAGAGTTAGCGATTGAAAAGTTGCCTTCCATTAGGAGCCCGTGTTGCGAAATCAAAGTTGGCGCAATGATAAACTAAGGGTTGAGCACGGGTAACCAATGGAAGCCACCGCGGCGGCCGCAAGGCTCCCGTTCGCTCAGATACGGGGTGCCGCTTTCCTTCAATCCGCACCAAAAGTGCAGGCATGCATTAAACACTCACTGACGTCTCCCATTCTGTCCTTAGATCCAAGCCCAGCGGCTACCAGCAACCGAACAGTCTGCAGATCTCAAGTAAAGCAATGGGCCACTATCCCTGAACAGAAAAGTCCGTACTCAAGCGTCCCCGAAGTTTTGAGGCAGGGATCCTTCCCAAATCGTGCGCTCGCACCCACCTTGCGGCAGAAAAGCCGGACCCGGGCTGCTTCGGAGACTGCAAGCACATCTCTTCCGACAGAGAATGGCAGGCCGTCTCCTGTTGCGTCGTTGCAAGGCCCCTCCGAACCATACTTCCCCAACAATGAAGCCAACATCAAAGTCATTGGTAAGGCTGGCAATTTCAAGTCAATGTTTTGTGTGCCGGGAGGAGGAATCTGCTTTCCTGAGGAGTCTTTTTCCAATGAGGGCCCGTAAATTCTTTGTGTTGGATGCCTGTGTGATGACATTACCTTGACGGTCAAACACTGATCGTGTAATCCAGACTCTGGTTCCGAATTGGAAGGTTTAACTGCTCCCGTCCACATCAGCTCATTCCAATAGGTGCTTTGCTGAAAATGGTGCACCAATGTCTGATGTTGAACAGGCTGAATCCTACTGGTCGCTGTGATTTCATCCTTCATACAATTGAAGCTTATTAGGCACCGTTTCAAGAAGACAGGGTGCAAAGTCTTGCTTCACTGGGTGTGCTGGTGCACTTGGAGGCCCTTCTGCATTATATTGAATCGAAACCAATTAGCGTCGATCGGAACCAATTGTTAAAATGTCCCTTAAGTTGGAGTCAGGACGTTAGCACTGTTTTCACTTGGACAGCAAAAGGTGCTCAAGCTGGCTCGATCCCAGGCCGCTGTCTGCTGGACTATCCGCGCTGTCATCTGACAAACTGGAGAAATCTGTTCCCTGCTCAAAATCATCAGCTTTGGTGCATGACGTGCGTGCACTTGTTACTCACTGCAGGTGTGGGCGGGGGTGGATCAAACGCCGTCAACCGGATGGTCCAATCCGAGATGACCGGCGTCGAGTTTTGGATCGTGAACACGGACGCTCAAGCGATGGCAAACTCCCCTGTGGAGCCCTCGCACCGGTTACAGATTGGTCAGGTGTTAACCCGGGGGTTAGGGGCGGGGGGTAACCCAGATATCGGTCAGCAGGCAGCGGAAGAGAGCAAGGCGCTATTGGAGGAGGCGGTCAGGGGGGCAGACATGGTCTTTGTGACGGTGAGGAGTATTAAGAGGAACTTTTTAATTGTTCAGTTATCAGAGTTGTTTGTTGGTGAGCTATGCGACTCAGCGAAACTGTCCAAGGGCTTGGTTTGTAGCAAGGTTGTGGCGTGAGAGTATCTGGGAAGTTTTGTGGACCTTGGCACATGCAACCGATATTTCAGCAATTACTTCTGAACGAGCTTCATCAGTTGGGCTGGTGAAATTGGAATACTCTGTGGTTTGGATGCTTCTTTCTGGGGCCTCCGGACTTGAGTGTCATGACCATGGCATGTGATATAGTCTGCTTGTCGAGAGACAGGGTTCAGCCATTTGCTCCCGTACTCAATCTAAAAGCTACAACCTTGCTATGTATATCTTTCTATTGCAAACCTCAGTTGTAAACAGTTCCTCTGATCTCTCTCTGGATGGTTTGAGTAGTGACGGCGCCGCCAGAATTGTGTAACTGTTGTCCTTCCAAGACGATCTAGAGCCTTTCTATTGTCAACCTTCCATTAACCTCTCCTCACTGCTTACCCAATCCGACCGTTTGATTTTATGCATAGTTGCCCGCCATGATTCCTGGTGGAACTTTTATTGTCCAGAATGTGACGGGAACAGCTGGGATTTAAGATTCAACAAATAAAACAACAGGATCAAGGCGGGCATGAGCGGAGGCACGGGCAGCGGCGCAGCCTGCATTGCGGCACGTGCTGCTTAGGACCTGAGCCTCCTGACCGTCACAATATGCAATCTCAATGATTTTCTCACCATCTACTCGATCTGACCGTCAGCTCCCAATTCTTCTTCAAACCGGCATGGGCGGTGGCACGGGCAGCAGCGCAGCTCGCTTCGCGGCGCTGGTTGGCAAAGATTTGGTGACCTAACCGTCAAGAAATCTTGTACACGACAATCTTCTTCCTAGTTGCTAGATTTGACCACCCGTTCTTACTCCTTTTTAGGCAGGCATGGGTGGCAGCACAGAGCGCGGCGCAGCCCTGATCGGGGAATGTGTTGCTAAGAGCCTCGGCCTTCTGACCGTCACAACATTGCGTTCTCGACTGCTCCTTCTTTAGTTACCCAATGCAACCGTCTCTCTAGGCGGGCATGGGAGGCGGCATCTGGCAGTGGCGCAGCCCCCATCGTTGCGCGTGTCACAAAAGATCTCGGCGTCCTGACTTTCGACGATTCCCACTCTAGTTTCTCGATTCCACCGCGCTTCCCAAATCTCTTTCAGGCCGGCATGGGTGGCGGCACGGGCAGTGGCGCAGCTCCGATCGTGGCACGCGTCGCCAAGGACCTCGGCGTGCTGACCGTCGGCATCGTGACGACCCCATTCTCGTTCGAGGGCCGGCGTCGGTCCAACCAGGCGGCCGAAGGCATCACGGCTCTGCGGGGGGCGGTGGATACGCTGATCACGATCCCGAACGACAAGCTGCTGACGGCGGTCTCGCAGAGCACGCCCGTGACCGAGGCGTTCAACCTGGCGGACGACATCCTGAGGCAGGGGGTGCGGGGCATCAGTGACATCATCACGGTGAGGCGTCGTGACGTCATCAAACCTGAGGCAGGGGGTACGGGGGCGATCGCGATGTCATCACTCTGAGGCGTTGCGATGTCTTCAGACCTGAGGTTGGCAGAAAGGTTTTGAGAGTCGGTGATGCGCGGTCGGGCAGGGGGTGCGGGGCACCAGTGACGTCATCACGGTGAGGCCGCGTCCGTGGCCTCATCTCGGCGGAGCGTTCTAGAGTCGGCTCTCCGGGTTTGCAGAGGTCCTGAGGCGCTTCGACTTTGTTTGAGGATGTCAGTCTGCGGCTTCGAGTGGGGGCATACTGGAGACGGTCAGCGTTAGCTGCGGGGAAGCAGTAGGGCTGGGTTGCTCGGGCAGGCTCAAGCTTTGGAGGAGCGGAAGGGTTTGAGTTTAGGAATCTCAGGAGTTTGCGGGTTCAAAAGGTTGGAGGGGCCGGAAGTGTCCTCAAGTACTGCAGAATCACGAAGTGTTTGAAAAAGTCTGGTGATTGCATAGAGTACGGAGGGGTTAACCGCAGAAGGCCTAGCTTGCCTTTAGTGCAGTACTTTCGAACTCCAACTTAAACTCCAGTTAAAACTCCACGGGGCAGCCTCGAAAGCCCCCTCGAACAATCTCAAACTGGCAGATCTTGTGAATCTTATGAGCCCCGTTCGTTTTGACAGGTGCCGGGGCTGGTCAACGTGGACTTCGCTGACGTCAGAGCGATCATGCAAGACGCGGGCTCGTCGCTCATGGGCATCGGCATCGGGACGGGTAAGGCATGTTACTCTTTTCCTGGTGCTGCGCAACTGATGAGAGTGCTTCATCAAAATGTCGAACCTTAAACGTACTTAAGTTTTTCTTTGGCTGATTATCTGCCCCAATTGTTGAGTCCACCGCTTCTCTTCGACGCTTCGGAACGGCGGTTATACAAGCACCAATTGATCGATCCTAGTCTAATTCAGAACTCCATCTGAAAAGTTCGATCGGGTATGTTTGTGGCAAGATGCGATACCAGAAACCAGCAGCAGAGATCAGCCAAATCACGCATTGATACGCATTCCCACGAAGCAGACGCCCTGAGATTTGACGATAGGGTTTTCCACTAACCAATCCCAACAACCGATCTATTTTGTGCCAGGCAAGTCTCGAGCGCGGGACGCCGCCGTCAGTGCGATCCAGTCTCCGCTTCTGGACATCGGAATCGAGAGAGCGACGGGCATTGTGTGGAACATCACAGGGGGAAAGGACATGACGCTGTTCGAGGTAAGCCCGTTTGCTCATAACTGTCAAGCGTCGGCTACGATTTTGCTTCGTCATATTGTTGACGTAAAGTGGTGGGTTGTTTGGGCCGATTACGCAGAACTCTCGCAGAAGGATGACCGATTCCTGTAGAAGCATGGATCGCTTCGCCCGGCTATCTCTAGGTCCGGATCTGCTCGACAGTATCAGCCGATGTCTTGAGAAGGAGTGCCCGCGACACTGAACGAGACCGTACTGCTTTCTGACTTGGCACTTTCGAGGTTATTCAGTCTGACGCGTCCTTTCGTAGCCGCCAAACCAAGCATACCGGAGAATGTTTGTCGCTCTTGGATGAACATCAGTCAGTACGCACGTTTTGGGCCTCTTGACACAACGGGTCTTTTGACCGACCGCTGGGCGATTGTGTCAAAGCAAAAGTTCAGAAATGCGGCGACGCTCACTCAAATCTCGTGCAAAAGTCGCCGGCGAAGTTTAGGGGCCGACTTTGCGGTTGGCAGAGAGCAATAAATGCGACCTCCATCGGATGGTCCGGAGGGTCGAAGTTGGGGGCTGCCCACATCGATCGACGGTTCCGAACTTTTGTTGCCGGCACCACGAGCGTGCGCACTGACTGATATCGTAAACTTTTCGTGCAGGTGAACCAAGCGGCGGAGGTCATTTATGAGTTGGTGGACCCGAACGCAAACCTCATCTTTGGTGCAGTGGTCGATGAGAACATGGCAGGCGCAGTAAGTCTCCGAAACACACGCAGTGCATAGGACCTCAGTTCCGAGAGCCTAGACTTCTGCAACTCTTCGAAAAGATCCGCGCTTTCAAGAAGCAAGCGACGCGGTTGTCCAGATCAGAAGAAGACGCTGGTTGGAGCTCGAAGATTAGTTAATCAGATTAGTTAAGGTTAGTGAATTAGTTAGATACGGAGGCGTTTGCTAAGCTCAAATCCTGCCGTTTTCGGGCGTTCGTTTGGAGCCGCTAGCGAAACCTGCCCGTCGCTTCGCATCCCGTTTCGCTTAGCGCACCTTGGTCGAAGCCAAACCTATTGCATGGGTTGACGCAAAACAAAATTGACCTGAAATGGTTCCTGAGATTGGATCAGAGTCTGGGTGCTTTAGCAGATGCCAGACCGATTGATGCATCTGTATCAGCTAAAACCCGAATCTTGGAAACTGCTTTATGAGGCCTCCGATCGAACTGCTATGACCCTAAGCATTGAGACGCGAGACGCCCTCTACCCTGTTTGAGAATGTATGGGGAATGGGGTCGACGTCTTACTTGAAGTTTTTCGTTGCCCTCTCTCCTGACTGTGCCTTTGCTTTTTGCAGTTGAGCATCACGTTGATCGCAACCGGTTTCCGTTCGCCGGAGGAGGCAGGGGTACGTTCCGCCCTTTCCGATCCGTTCGGTTCTGATGCTTTTCGCTGGTTCTCTTTGCGGAATCCTTGGCTGCGGGTCGGAGGTCGTCCCGGCCTTAGCAAGGTCGGTTTAGCAAGGATAAGGCGACGATTGCGAATCTGCAGATTTGTAGGGAGAAACTGAAAACGAGCGGAACGGCAAAGAGCGGGCTCGTCCGTCGGCTGCCTTTCTGACACCAGTTTAGTCGTCGGTCGCAAGTCACCCAACCGTTTTCACTGCGGAGGTTTTCCAAAATTGCTTATAAACCTGCTTCATCCATGCCGACCCCTGTCATTCTGCTCGATTTCGGTCGGTCATGTAAACCGGGTAAAATCGCCACTGTTCCTCTGGATTAAACCCCCTCAGTTAAGTATACCGTGCCTTCCGACTCTTACAAAGTTGGCGCAGGGAGGTGGTCATACGATTGCGACTCTAGTTGTGAACACCGTTCTTGCCCCCAAAGCTTTCGGATGCCAGGTGGCTTCACCTTGTTTTAGGTATACAATGAGGCCCCTTGACGGGAACGCTTACTTGACACCGCGCTCGCCCTGGGGTCTTTTGCACCGGAGTTTATCAAGGTCAATTCCTCGGTGTCAGATCCTTGGTGGCAAATTCTTGTTGTCAACACTGCTCTAGCGCCAGCAGATCTTCCACCAAGTCGAACGTGATCCCAAACGTTCTCTCGGCTGGTTTTTTCATCGCCGGTCTCGTGTGCGTAATCGGCGCAGTCAGGTACATTCAGGGGCGCGCCCGAGCGTGGTACCCTTTTTCACGTTCGCCAACCTTACCTTTAACACCATCTTTGCTTCCACTCACCCATCAAGTAACATTTCCTCGTTTTGTGTCATGTCCACAGTTGGCGCAGCAAGGTCAGGTACCCCCGGGTGCGCGGCCGAGCGTGGCCCCCTTTTCTGCTTTCGCCAGTGTCACGTTTTACACCATTTCTGTTCCCAACTTACGTCCGAACTGATATGTACTCTTTTTGTGTCATCTCTGCAGTTGGTGCAGCGCAATCAGGTACTCCCAGGGGTGTGGCCGCGCGCTTTTCGCCCTTGCCAGTCTTACGCTTGACACCTCGTTTCCTCCCACTTAATATCACACTGATGTGTATTTCTTTTTCGTGTCATCTCTGCAGTTGGCGCAGCGCGGGCAGGTACTCCCAGGGGTGCGGCCGAGCGTGGTCCCCCCCTCTCTGGGCTCGAGCAGCGCAGGAGGGCCCCCCGTGCCGGAGTTTCTGAAAAAGGCCGGGGTCAAGAAGAAACCGTGGCCGTTCTAGTTGCTTCGGTCTCGTGGCCGTCTGGTCGAGGAAGAGTGCGATGAGCGTGGGCGTTTCGGCCGGCAATCAAAGACAGCGCCGAGTCAAGAGGGAATCTAGTCGCTCGAACCGCAGGGATTCACCGGCCAAGCGGTAGCGGGTGGCGTACTGCTGCGGCAAGGCTGCCATAGGAGCAACGACTAGTTCCGCAGTGATAAGTTCCTGACAATTTAATGCCGTGCAATCGTTGTGTTTGTCTCAAGGAGCAGGAGAAGCTCTAGCAAGAACTCAAGTCATGGGGCGTAGCCGTGCAGTGACATGGTCCAATCGGATAAGTCTGCCAGATAAAAGGTATGCCGACTCGACGCTCAGGCTGTCAGTGCTGCAAGCAAAGACGGCCTGCTAAGTCAACTCGATCAGATGTGTTTGTAAAAGAACTGCTTGTATATGTATGCGTGAGGTCCGATTTACGAGTCTGCGGGCTCGGACCATGTGCGATGCAGCGATGTCACGAAGCCGTTTTTCTAACGCACGCATGCAACTGTGATGCCTAATGTCCATCAGCTAGTGATATAGCGAGGTAACGTACAAGCCCGGATGCATGGCAGATAGAAGCACGCCTCCGACGCCAATGATGGTAATCTCTTCAGATGAATGACTCCAATTAAGCAAAAGAATGTAGTTGCATATGATCGAGTCAAGCCTGAACTAAAATTTTGCTTCGGATCTCAGAGTGCCCTGCTTGGCAGAGAGCACTGACCGACAATTTCCTTGGTGACACAGTAGTTCAAGTACGGCCTACGATATCATCATGTGTGTACGTATCGATTTAGTTCCGGAGTCAAGACTTGTGCTGTATGCAGCCGATATGGAGAAGGACTGGGGTTGCCACTAGCGCTATCCAATCGATCGAGATAACCAATCGCACATATGGTTGACGATGATGTCACTGATGCATACGATTGCACAAACGATGTGCACTGATTTGACCGAGCCCATTCTAGCGCACCACTGGACGGCTGTTGATTGATAGAATCATGCCGCAGCTCGAGACATTCAAATCATGTACGCGAAAACCAAGAGGTACTTCGTTACTGTTTCATCCATTTGTTGGATTGACTCTATGCCGCATCTAAATCAAGCGGGATGAGAGGGCGGCATGCTATACGACCAGAGTCCATGATGACGATCCATTTTACAAACGGCCCACGTCTCCCTAAGTCGATGATACTGACGCAAAGAAGGGGTGAGCGCTAAAGTTATGCACGACTACCTTTCAGCCTAGATTCATAGACTCCTGGGAAACACAGACATGCACACAAAATACATCTTGCGAAGCTCATTCAACATCGAACATTCACCTCCAATCCTCTTTCTACCACAGCGCACCCCGCGTAGTCCCTCGAGCGATCTAAGCCAAGCAGACTGCGCTTAGAAAGTTACGTAAGAGCGATGCAATCCTCTAGACCCACCCATCGGGTATCGGACCATTCCCCTATGCCATCCGGCAGACACTGCAAAGTCCTGCAGCCTGTCAGATCGATTCCGCGTATGCTCTCCCAAGCCCGGACGGAGTCTGGCAGACTTGTGAGAGCGGTGCACGGCGGTTCCGAATTGTGGCTACCGCCGAAGTCCAGATAACGAAGATTGCGCCAGAGACCCACGCTCTCAGGCAGGGTCCGCAAACTCTCACACCCGCTCAGAGTCAGGTCGCTCAGTTCCTTCCATCTACTCACGCTTTCTGGGAGCATTGTCAACTTCGAACATGATAGGCGGACCGTCTGCAACCTCTGCCAGGCGCCTATGGCTTCCGGCAACTCGCGCAACCGGTTGCTACGCAAGCTCAGATGAGTCAGCTTCTTCCACGCTGATACTGCATGGGCCGGAAGCTCCTGTGCTTCCAGATTCCCGATGGTCAACTCGGTCAGATTGGACCATGCTTGGGTGCTGATTGGCAGGTTTCCCACTTTCCCAAGACCCACCGTTTCTATGCTTACCCACTCCCCCACCTCTTGTGGCAGAACTAGTCTGGGAAAGGCACACTCTTTATTTAGCTCCAGACTTTGCAGCTCTCTCCACTCCCGAACTCCTTCCGGAAGCGTCGCAATGAGGACGCAGGAACGGATCTCAAGAACCCTTAGGTTTTCCCACCCTTCGACAGCTGAAGGCAGGCCCTCCACTTTGCTGCAGTTTTTGATGAACACCCTTTCTAGCAGTCCCCACTGATCTACGGATACAGGCAGTCCTCTGAGTCTCATGCAGGACTCCAATCTCAGTTCCCTCAATGACTTCCACTGCCCTACAGAGTCCGGGAGTTCAAGCAGACCGACTCCTGTTAGGCTTAATACTCTCAATTTCTGCCAAAATCCTACTCCTTCAGGCAACGCGCTTAGGCGGGAGCACGAAGAAAGAGAAAGCTCGCGCAGATTTTGCCAGGCACCTATAGCTGTGGGGAAGGACTCAAGAAAAAGCGCCTTTTGGAGCCTCGGGACTTCGAGCCGGTTCCACGAGTCGACGAAAGGTGGCAACTGTCTCAGCCCGTTGCGGTTGTTGTTCAAAAACGGGTCCAAAGTCAAATCTAGAATTCTCAGGTTCTTCCATTCTTTGAATGTCTCTGGGACTTCACTCTCGTTGAAGCAGGTTATCCTCAGGGACTGTAGGTTGGTCCATTTGCTGCTCGCTGGAGGGAAGGAGATACTATGAGCAAGGGTCAGACTTTTTAGGTTGATCCACCTTCCAACTCCTTCCTCTGTCTCCAGTTTCTCAAGAACAAGAGCACCACGCACAGCGAGACTCTCGAGCCACTCCCACTGTAAGATCGTTTCTGGCAGCCTTATTGGAGCAGGGCGCAGCACTTCTGAACCAAAATGTTCGAAGCTAAAATCCATGTGCTTGATTTGCACTGGCGTGATGCGGTCAATAGACCTCACTATCCTCTCAAACCCTTCCGCATACTCCCTCTCTTCCAGCTTCAGGTGGAGGCTCTCGATGTTGGGGAAACGGCTCATCATCTGCAAAAGCTCGGCCTCCCTTCTTTCCAGATGCTGGTCGCAAGGGATTACAAGGCTCTTGATCGCCTCCCTTCCAACGGAATGCCAGTCTCTGCACACTTGCATGAAGTTTCTCAACCATACTTTTCCTTTTCAATCCTCTTCAAGCAAACCTGCTATCTCTACAAGGATCTCTCTCGGCAAAGCTGTGAATCCGGAAGCCGAAAAGGATTCCGGGCCCTCGGAAGCCATCATGGCGAGGAACACGCTGCAAAGCCTCCCTCCGCCTCAGGAAACGGAAACGGTCACCACTTGAAATGAAATGGAGTTGAACAAACTCATTCAGGTTGAAAGTGAGGCTTTTAGTCCTGGCGCGCGGTCGGCGCATCCGACCTGGCCAGCTAGATCGACTTTGCGACCGCGGCAGCGTATGGCTACATGCGCATCAGAGAGACGCGCGGGGTTTCGAGGGTTTTAAGCTCTTCTGCCCATCGTTCCGGCGGGCTCCGTGTCCGGCGAAACAAACCGGAAGGAAGAAAGCGCTGCGAGGAAGCGCAGGCAGCGCCATCACAACTCCAAGTCGTGGTATCGTAAGTCGATTACTGTATAAGCCGCAGTCATAAGCCGTAGTTCGTTGGGCAGCGCGATCAAAAACACCAAGGGACACAGCGGGGGCACAGCCGAGCATGGTCTCCTTCCTCGCCTTTGCCAGCCTGTCTTAGGCTTGACACCAAGTTATCTTCGCTCGAACTTAGAATTATACTGATGTGTAGTCATTTCGTGTCATGTCCGTACTTGGCGTAGCGCGGTCAGGGAAGTACTCCCAGGGGTGTGGCCGAGCGGGGTCCCCCCTCTTTGGGCTCGAGCAGCCCGGAAGGGCCTTCTGTGCCCAAAGTTTCTGAAAAAGGCCGAGGTCAAGAAGAAACTCTGGCTATTCTAGTTGTTTCTGCCACGTGGGATTGTGAGATGGGGGGAAGGGCGAGAGGGTACTCAGTGTGGCCCTTTGGTTGACTTTCATACCAGCCGGAGAGAGAAGGTCAAGTCGAGGAGCGTGGGTAAAGGACCAATCTTAGGTTGCTCGAACTACTTACTGCCGGCTTCACCGACCATGGAACCATGCAATGATAGCATGACTTCCTCTGGCGACAAGGCACAGCAATCCAGCCAGCAAGACCACTGGTCAGATCTTGCAGCTTTCAGTTCCTATTGGCAATGATGTTGTGGGGATGTTGTGCGGTCAATGTGTTCGGTTCTCAATGTATGTCCACTCACACTAGATGTTCTACCAAGTGTGGAGTGTACGGCAAACTATGACGGGCAGCTATGTGGGCGCCGCGGACTACGACCCTCGACATGCCAGGCTGGCTGCCAGTGGGCCGTGCAGAGAGACCCGACAGTCGATCTGCGAGATAACATGATTCTGATCGTTCTGCGTGTCCAAACCCAACGCAATCTAACATAGTAAACCTACTGAGAATTGCGTCAGATCTGATACCGGTGGACGCTGTCTGTCCCCCACTATCTCCCACAGAGTCCCTGCTTATAAACCGTAAACTTATCTGCAAATCGCAAAACCCTTTCAAGGCTTTCGACAGGCAGAGAGGCAAACCTGTGGTAGAAAGTCGGGCGGTAACTAGGCGTGAAACCGAGGCCTCAAATCCTTCCTATACGATGGGTTATCAACTGGGGTATATTCAAGGGATATTGCGCGATAGTGCATGTGCGACGGGCATGGTGTTCACCGGTATCAGGTTTGACGCAATCCCCAGTAGAGCACGAGATTACGATCGTCGAATTGCGCGAAGCCTGTCTTCTATGAGAAGCGCGCTCCGAAACTTGAAGCCGCTGCAGACATGAGAGCCGCTCTATCGTGCGCTTGATCGATCAGAACCCATGGCATGCGCTGATCTCCTCCTTTGAAAACATAAAGGGCTTGAGCAGGATTGTGCATAACGCACGCGCATGGTGCTTAACATGGTACTTAATTCATGGATTCGGTATACGCATATCGATAAGACCCCGGTATATAACAAATACAAGAACGCTTCTAGACACAGACTCCAGCGATCAGTACGACTATCATGCTGTGTAGTTCGTTAGCCATCGGATGGTTTCGGATGTATCTTGCACAGGCCTCGGGCGTCAGACCCCCCCCCCAAAGTGATGTGCCTTGCAGACTAGCTCTACATGGCATGGTGCGCTATTACCAATACTACACACGGAATTGCACGCCAAGATGGTCAGGTCTGACATTTCCGTCGCTCGTTGCCAAAAAGGTCAGTTAAGCCATAAAACTACGACATGCTTGTCTCGACAGTAATACCTGCTCAGATTTAAGAGGAGGATAATCCGGAGTCTCCCGGCTAGCGGTGGTTAAGAGCCAGAGGATACTCCGCTTGACGGCTGGCAACTCGTGTCTTATTCTTCAGTTGTTCCATATCAAGTTATCAAAGACTTCCGCTTATCGCTCAAAGCTTCGAACTGGCTGCAACGTGAAGGACCGTTGGTCCTAATAGTTGAAAGCTCTTGCATCAAATAGAAGACGCTTTCTCTCGCTTTTGGAGCATAGGTGGCACCAACCAGTCAAACGTCTCCATTCCTGCAAGCGACTGAGCGATGGCTCCTTGCAGACTTTCACCTTCTGCAAAAAGTACGCGGGTTGCGTTTGCACTCTTCTTTTGAATCTTCGTCTTTTATGCTCCAAACGCGCTCGGACACCCGGACAACTACATTTTGGATAGTCGAGCATTGTCCTCAATCACCAAGCGCGGGTCGTTTAGAAAAGCAGATTGGCAATACCGGGAAGAGAATGCACAACGAGCTGAAGTGCCCGGCGAAAGAGAAAAAGAAGGTCGTGAAGCACGGCCTGAATTGCAAAAAGTCGCTCTCACCTAATCCTATCTGGTCAAACCGACAAGATGTCTGAGGAGTCTTACCTGGCAACTCCTGGTACATCTCCTGCAGCTTGTCGGCAAGCCCCTCGCAACAGTCCCAAACGTCCCGCGCGCACTGCCGGAGGTTTTCCTGCGTCGCGTCAGGAAGCCGTTTCCTGTCAAGTGCGAGCTCTTGCTTGTGCTCGTCGGCAGCTTGAGCCAGCGCCAAAAATGGTAGTGTCAAAACCGTATTTCCGTGCTTCTCCACGAAGACGAGAGCAAAGAAACCGGTAAGTTGACGAGACGCGGAACGCAGACGCTGCTTGCATGAATTTCTGGGGGGACCTATCATGGCAACGAACCGCTGATTTCCATGTAGGCCGGACTGAAGAGGAGCGAATGGGTGTCTGAAGGTCACAATAACTTACGAACTCGTCAGCTCCACCCATGTTTCCGTAAAGAGGATCGTCCACCTCCTCGATCTGCAGGCAACAGGCAAAGTTGAGATAGCTGACGTCATTCTACGTCGGTATTCCAATGAAGATGCTCTAGACTTACGAAGTACTCTAGTCTAACGAAATTTTCGTCTCCCGATGTTGCTAGTGCGAATGCTGGCTTTTTTCATCTTCCCTAACCTGGCTGCATCAAGAGGAGCAAGACATTCCTTATCCACTCGCAGCAGTTGCTTCGAGGAGTGATATTGAACGGCTACGTTGGTGAGACCTGTCCCAGGAAATGGCTGGGGTTCGTCGACTGTAGGGTTTTGAGGTGGATACTGCGAAGCATGTCAGATCCGATTAAGGCTCATATTCCTCTCAGCGGCCGAGGCTTGCCTTAACGTAGCTCTTTCGAATCAGAAACATTCTTCCGGTGGGCTTTGATCAAGTATGTCGCAGTTGAATCAATAAAAAGGGAAAGAGTACAATAAGAAGAGACCTTTGAAACGCAGGGAGTGTCGTCGTCAGTTGACGCTAACGAAGCGGAATAGTGGGGCGCTCACTGCTCGACTTCTGGCAAACTCCCCCAGGCGCCTTACGCGTACGGAGTAACGGCCCGTGGAGTCGATGGTGTCGTAGACGGAGATCTCCTTGAGAACGTCAGCGGCGTTGAACTGCAAAGACGTACATACTCATTTCAATCCCACGATTGGGTGGTTCAAAGAAAGATTTCCAAAAAGTAGCTCAACGAGCACTTTTGAAAAGCTTCCCGAACATTGACTCAAAGACTCAAAAGAAGTTGCTCTGAGGCTAAGCAACGGCCGAGGTTGCCAGGGTTTAGTGTCAACAACGCTCCTTTACAGAGCAACTCCCAACTGTCAAGAGGCGGAAAAGGAGAAAGGGGTAAAGGAAAACAGACCTTGTCGAAGCACAGGATCAGGTCGTATTGGACGATGTCCTTCGCATGATCTGCACCAAAAACCGCACCCTTTCAATCCAGAAGCAAGAGACTTAGAAATCATAAACTCCTCCAATAGAGTTCGATACTTACAGAGCGCTTTTGCGCCTCGCTTTTTGAGATTCTCAGTAGGTCTGTGCCAGTCGCCCCAAATATTGCCGGCCCTTGCCGTCTCTGCATCGGCAACAAACGGCCACGGCCACTGACAATCAGAGGCTTTGTCCAACGATAGCCCGTAACTGAAGAGATCGTCAAAACAGCAGGTCGTTTGAGGAAGTGCTTGGACCAAGATTCTCTTCATGGCCAGCGGAAAAAGTCCCTTGCCCTTGATGAGACCCTAACAATGGAGGCAAAGAAAGATTTACGCCAAATCCCGATCTGCCTTGCGCTGCCCCCCTTTCAGTAAACTGCAGGAATGCTGCATGCTTTGCATCTGCGGAAGGAGTGTTTTGGAAGGGTGTGTCCAGGAACCCCCTTGGCTATACAAGTGGTATAGCCAAGGTGTCCGAATTGGCTATGGCCCAAAATATTCTCTGCCGTCAAGCTCTGTCAAACCAGCAACAACACCATCAATGCAGATGAGGCGCACCTATTAGGCGTGCGGTCGCCCCCTCCCTTAATCTGATCCCCAGTTCCTCTGCAACCTGCACGGCCCGAGGGTCCGGTGGCTCCCCCACGTTGTAATCTTTCGTTGCCTGCACAAAACCAGAAAGGAACAAGCTCTTGATCCAGAAGAACATCCTTGACGGTAGACGGACTACGCGCGGCAGAGGGGCCATTCTTATCGGAGTGACTATGCTTACCAGAGGGACTGTTCCCACCAGATGCAAGGCAGCCAGTAACTGCAACTTCTACCTTGAGGACAGGACAGAGCACTTCCTATTCTTCCTATCTGTTGGGGATAGCAATGTACAAAATGGTCGACTTCTGTTTCCTCTCAAAGAGGGTGCCATGACAATCTCAATTTATTGTGGCATGAGATTTAAAGGTGAGCTTACAGGCCATGGCCATGACATCAAGCAAGCAGCAACCCCAAATTATCGAAGGAGGCATCGAGCTGTTCATCTTCAACTCAAAGACAACTCTTTTGCCAAAACGAGCCTGTCGATACTTGCCACTGCAAGCATTTGCCATAGGTTTTGAATTACTCTCCTGCCTATAAAAGGAAGGAAACAGAAGCATAGGATCTGAGATACTACCTTCGAAGCACAAGCGACTACGTTATCTAGACCACGTTCTGCTAGCATCCCATTGAACATGGCCTCTGCATAGATGGACCGGCAAACATTGCCCTCGCTGAGGAACAGAATATTCGCCTTAGCGCTGTCCGTCTCCCTCTGCAATCCACAAGTGCCACCGGGGTTAAGATTGATCAAGAAGTTAGCGCTGAGAATGTATTTCGGAATCAAGCTGTGTCGTCTAGGAAGACACGCCATGTCCTCTTCTTTTACACACAACCAGAGTTAGACAGATGTGCAGCAGATTGTAAGGGGCATCTTTTAATAGTGCTGCAATTCATCTGGTGATTGACACAGATCTTGATACGAACATTCTTTGCGGCTAGGAACTAGAGACTGCCCAACATTGTTCTAAGGATAGATCACAACGAGAGGCATGATTGAGAGCCTTTGCAGGCAATCGAGCAAACAGCAGCAGGTCTTTGCATTTTGAGGTCATTTTTCACGCCCTTGATTTAAATGCTGCCCTTGCTCGCCACAGATTGTGAGTATTTACAACTCTGCAAGCCCCTTTAAGACAAATAGGGTGGTGGTGGTGCTAAGTGATACACTTGATAGTCACTAACTTTGAATATGCAATGACGTTCTGGTCTTGGCAATAAAAGGAAACTTGAAAGGCTCATCCTACATTACGGAAGCAAGTCTAGTCAGAAATTCCTGCACAACTATGGGCATGGGGAGCTGGTGGTAGTGCAATTCAGTTCGACTAATACAGAGATGAGATTCACTCAATGCTGGTGCCTGGCGACTTGCCTCATTGTTGGTGCCCTGCCAAGGCGCAGACCGAAACGACGGAGTGACACAATTGCTGGAGACATCGAAGGCACGCTGTGGTTCTTCGACTGTTTCTGACGTTTCCGCTTGTGCACTCTGCATGCTTACAACTCCACCACGATGCAATTGCCCCACTGCAAAACTTCTTGGACATCTCCTCTGACCCTTTGCCCCCTGCCCCCTGCGGACGGCATTTGCTTCGCCAACCCAGCTTAACCACTGACAACTATCACTGGAGACTCTTTCGTCAGGATTTTTCAAAGAAGAAAAGGAACAGGATGCTCTACAAAAAGCACCCTGAGCATTACGTACGAGAAGGGAGGACGCCATGCTCTTCAGGCTTCAGCGCTCAGCTCTTTGGTGATCAATGTGCATTATCAAGCTAGGTCACAGGTGAGTGGCGGGCTAGAGAGCAGACCAGGCTGCCGCAGCTGTTCCGGCGGACGTCGACGATAATCGAACGGAACAGCATAATGAGCTGCATCAGACCGGAATTGCATCATCGGTATAAGTGTACGCGAGCGCGCGAGCTGCTGCAGCGGCACGCACCTTTGAATTCCGAGTTTGTCCGACTAGTCGGATCCTTCGGTTGGTGGCTTCTCAAGTTTCCGACGTCTGATCAGTTCGAGCTTTCGATTGGAGGTGCTCACCTCGAGCCTCAACGATGTCAGCCACGTTGGGAAGACCTGTGATCACGGGTACGCAGCGTTCTGCAAAATTTGACCAACTTGGGCTTGCAATGTTGGGGCAATCTTGTACACTTGCAGGAGACACAATTGTGAAAATTACAAGCTAGGTTCTTCATCAGCCCCGGACGACTCAGTTGCACGCGGTTGGCATGCACTAACTAGGCTGGATCGGTATACGCATGAAGAATTTGGCAACGAGAGCTTAGAATCAAAAGAATAACCTGACGAGCTTTGCTTGCTTGGATTCGCACGTCGCGAAGGTGACGCGAATGAGATTCGGGTCCACAAGCATACCCGACGTCGTCATATAGCAAGGCACAGCTCAATAAACGCTTTTCACATCGAGCGACAGAATGGGAGGCGCGGCATGATAATCAGAGTCAGTGTACATTCCCTGTAGGCTACACGAAAGAAGAGAAGTGGGATTGAAATCGTCACATGCATGGACTTTCAAACGCTTGTGAAGTCACAACCCTGTCAACTCTCCGAGCATAGTCAGCTAGTAGAGCGCTTGCAGTATCGCATTAAGGATATATTTTGAAGCCTCAGTGCTACTGGAAGATATAGACGTTATCTGAAAAGTACGGGCATCCTCGAGAGGGGTTACTGTAGCAATTGGAATGACTTCGCCCTTCCTCAAAAGCTCGGTCCGGCCATATTCTTATCCGTGAAATTTCCGGAATGGAGGTCCTCGACGATCAGCAAATAACTCCAGATCTACGTGCATACAAAACCGTGATGTTGACAGAGCACCGTTGGCGTGATTTGAATTGCAAATTCTCGTTTAACGCGTTCAATCGCCATTCATAGGTATGCCCGAGAAGGCTCAAAGACGTTGCAGAACGATTGATCATTCCATGCTGGCGACGCTTGGCATCAAGTGACCTTGGGGTGCACTCGGCTTGCCGCGCAGTAACTGACAAACGAGATGCGTGCATTATACTTCTAAACATTCTTCGCTTACTATACAAAATATATGCCGTTTACTTTTCGGGCCAGCCTCTCAAGCTGGCGAGTCGACGAAGCGAACAGAGTTGTGCATCCGAGCGTCCGTTCCGCTTTCCGCCGGATCCTTCTTAAGGCTCCCCGCTTTGCCCGGCGGAGTGCCCCGGTCAGTACCCGAGAGTCTACTCCCCGCCCGGTTTGGACTTTCGGACGCACTCCGCCGCGAGCTCCGAGATCCGGACGACCGCCGACCATCCGACACGGAACTTTTGTCCGAGACTCTCCTCTCCAGTGCCTTGAGCGCCTCTTCAAACGACGGAGCCGACGTCAGGTCCGAGAAAGCGTCCGTTCCGTCCGGGTTCCGCCCGTCCTCGGACGCCGGAATCGCCGCCAGCCGCTCGTACAGGCTCGCCTGAATGCTCTCCAGCCTGCTTGCGGTCGATTCCCCTGCGTTCCGGTGGCTTCCGCTTCCGTCGTCGTCCTTCTCGGCGACCGCGGGCAGCGCGTTGTCGCTCGAGCGCCGTGAGCTCTGCGTTCTTCGTGCCTTCCGCTCGTTCCGCTCGTTCCGCTCAACGGGCGTGCTCGACTGCCAGATCGGAACCTCGAACTTCTTCGCCCCAGAAAGGCCGCTCAGCGGCCGCCGTCCCAAACCGCCAAGCCTTTCGGGCGTACTTGGTCTAGACCGTTCTCTCGCCACCCCTAATTCCGTTCCGTTCATAGGCGCCGCCGGACTGGCTCTTCCGCTCGTCACGCTGATATCTTCCTTTGCGCCTTCCCGAGACGGCGCCCGGGAGGGCTTTTCGGGCGACCCCGGCCTGCTGTGTCCAGCACTGCTCTGTCGCCCCGAACGTCCTGCCAGCGTTTCACCATCAAAACTAAGTCTTTCCCCGATTATTACGCCGATGCTTTCCGGCGACGGAACCACTCTGTAAGAAGGGCTCCCTGGTCGCCCTACCGCGGCCAGGGGAACCGCAGGCTCCTCAGGCGCCAGCTTGGCGACGAAATTCGGCGAGGGGATGACACGTGGCTGCTCCTGAGAGGGGCTCTTGGGCCGGTCCGGCGATCGCGGGCGGTCGTTGTTTCGGCTTCGCGGCCGCTCGCTCTGCGGCGCGAGCGCGCTGAGAGGTTTGGAGGGTTTGGAGGGTTTGGCGTGGCCGCCACCTGCAAGGAGGCAGAACGGAAGCGTCAGAGTGACGTCAGCTTCTTGGGAATGGAGCGCCGTAATTTGTCTTGACGTGTCAATTTCGAAGTACGAGGCACGACTTCCGATAAAGCTGATACTGTTCCGCTTCCCGGCACTGTAGGTATCACGTCGGATGATTTTCGTGGGTGCATTGAAACGGAATGATGCCGTGATTTTGGAAAGAGTGGTCTCGAAGGGAACAGCAGGCTTGGGCATCCAGATTTGAACAGGGCAGAGAGTCGAACCAGGAAGTAGAAAATTGAGTGCGACAGCTGTGAGAAGCAAATGAACATTGCGTTCCACAAGGCGACGGTGGAACCCACGGGCGGGATCGAATGCTTGTTCGAAGTATCTTTACAAACGCACGGAGTTTTCGCGGCAGATGCTCACAAGCCCAGGAAACAACCCTCAATTGCACCAACTTCCATAAACCATGCTCACTGGAGCTGCTAAGGAGAGCTTGCCCCTCGTCTCGACCCGTTTCGGAAATCTCGCACAGAAGTACTCTACCGCAACCACGTCGCCCTCTTTTCACGCCACCTCCCTGGGACGATTTTAGGGTCAGGTCAACTATACCCTAGGGTTTTAATGTAATTTATCGATTTTCCGCGGATTTCCGAGATTGTAGATATACGCGTTCCAGTAGACCACGGTTTCTTACCTGGCCGCCACGCCGACTGCGCGACCTCCCGACCACTCCCCGGCCTTGGCACCACCCTCTCCGGAGTGCCCGGTTGGTCTCCCCCGACCGCCGAAACCGTCTTCTTAACCACGGGCGAATCGCGCCACGAGCTGCGCACCGTGCTCCCCCTTCTGCCGCTCCGGGGGGATCCCCCGACCTGCATTCCGACGGTTACTTCTTCAATACACGCTTAGACACCTGGGCCCATGGCGCAGAGAGAGGCAAAGTCGGAGTTTGGAGTTCATCAGAAAAGGTTATTAATCTAGTTGTCGAGCAACTACTAGCAATGAAGCAGCATAATCGATGCAGTGAAGGATAAGCTCGGTGAAAAGTAGGCTCAGTGCACAAGATGAAGAAAGTGCGGAGGACGGGTGGGTCTAATCCGGGGTTAGAGTGGGTGCAAGTGCGGAGCTCGTAAACCTTTGCTTTTGATCTCTGGTTACTTCGAGGGCTTGTTGTTTCATTGACCTTACCGTTCGCTCTATCGAGAACCAAGAAACTCCCAACCCCTGAAATACTCAAACCCTAACTCCTGAAACCCTGAAAGCCGACCTGTTCTTGGAAGCGGCTGGCGCCCGTTTTGGGCCCCCGGTTGAAGGGCGACTTGGGCCCGTCGCCGGCCGGGGACGCCGCCGGGGAGGGGCTCGCGGAGCGGATGAATTGCCCGATGTTCAGGATCGCGCGAACGGCGTGCTGCGGGGAGGAGGGATTTCAGGTTTCAGAAACTTCTCGAGCTCAAGGGTGATCGTGCTTCTGAGGCTTGCTAGCCTCGGCTAACATGAGTCACATGGGTCCCGTTAGAAACGAGGCGTTTGTCTTGATGTTAAAACAAGCTGAACCGAGCTTTCCGGCGGAGTATATGATTCGACCGTCCTCTCGAAACTCAGATCGGATGATGCCAGTCTTGAGGGACTGAGAAGCGCTCTGAAACTGCAAGGTTATTCTCAGAATGCGAGGTGAAGCGATCTAATGGACGCTATCCTCAAACACTACCCCTGGGCAGCAAACAGTCCTGCTTAAAGAAAAGGCAAAAGTCTACCGTAAGCCGTTAACCACATTAAGCTCGAGCATGATTAGAAAGCGTAACCATGCTCGAGCGTGGTTGGAGCGTGGTTACGACCACGTTATGCGACCATTCCTTCCTGTGGGGCTTGGACGAGAATCAGAGGGCGGACTGGAATTGAGTGAGTAAACAGGCAAGCTGAGCCAGATATGTAGATGTCTACGATTGGATCCAGTGAGGAAGCCAATTACGTGAGGCATGCCCTGTCGTTGTCTGGACTTTGTAAGTTTGCCCTCTCACAATCTGTGTCTGCTTGTGCACAGACTTCTGATCGATCTCCAAGAAGTGCTCGGGGCGGCGACCCAGGCAGTACCTTGAAGGGGTTGTTGAAGCGGCGCACGGCGTGCTGCAGGTCGCCCACCAGCTGCCGGTAGCTCGCCCATGCCGCCTCCGCGTCCTTCCGTTCCTGGTACAGCTGCGGGCGGAAGCGGAACGAGCGGAATCAGACACAGAGAAAGAGCGAGCAGAAGCGGAAAAAACAAGATTAGAGAGGCACAGTGAGCGGATCCTGACGTAAGAAGCGGGATCAAGTGAAGGCGGAAACAGGTCTCAAGAGGGCAGGCTCCAATGAACGTGTTCGAATAAGCAAGTCGCTCTGACAGGCTTGGCGACCGGCGTAAGCTGGAAGTCACCATTACAGTCGCCTAGAACGTGATTTAACCCTCAGACTGAGACTGGCAACTGGGATTTAGCAGAGGGCCCGGCAACACTTCCGTGTGCGTGCTTTTGGTAACATGCATCTCGGGGATCCCCATGTTTCCCTGATCAAGCGGCTTAACGGAGAAATATTTCCACAACTCTCTCAAAACTTCAGATTAACAACGAAAAAGGAAGGAAATAGCACAAAAAGGAGAGAGGAAGCACCAAACTTCCTCTTTTGAACCGCAGCCTTCCTACCTTAGAGAAAACCGCCAGCTTCGTTTCCAGTCCCGCGACCACCGCCCGGGTCTTCTCCCCCCGGTCGCCCGTCTTCTGCTTGAGCCGCTCTAGTTGGTCGCCCGGCTTATCTCCCCCGGCCAGCGCCTCGTCCAGCATGCAGAACAGGTTTTCGTCGGGCGACTTCGCGTCGGTCGCGGCCGCGGCCGCGCCTCCCGCGGCCGCGTCGGGCTGGAATGTCCACTTCCATAAGCGATGCTTGCGCGCGATCGCGACGAACGTGGTCGGGTCGATGCTCTCGCCGCTCGCGGAGTCGGAGGTTTGCAGCGCCTCGCGGAACATCTGGGCGATCTGGGGGGGTGGAAATACGAGCGGATTGAGCCCCCGGACAATGAAACAAACCGTTCATTGTCCAAAGTATAGAGATGCTCTCGCCGCTTGCAGAGGCGGAGGTTTGCAGCGCCTCGCGGAACATCTGGGCGATCTGGGGGGGTGGAAATACGAGCGGGTTGAGACCCCCGGACAAGGCAATAAAGTGTTGATTTTTGCAAGTATAGAGATGCTCTCGCCGCTCGCGGAGTCGGAGGTCTGGAGGGCCTCACAGAACATTTGCGCGATCTGGGGAATCGAAAAAGGTTGAATCCAGACCCTCAGAGAGGAAAGGAATGGGTATTGGATGTCCAAGTTTCTGTCGCGGAGTCGGGAGTTTAAAGCTCTCTCCGAAACACTTGGGTTTTTCAAGGGGATGGCACAAAGGCGACCAAAAGGAGTCGAGAACCCCAAGAACAGGATGATGTGTAGTTGGACGTTCCTTAGCACCTCTATAGCTAATGGCGGTGTCGCACCAAACCGGATGAGTGCAAGGCGTTGTAAGACTACTTGTGCATTCAAAGGGGGTTCGATCCTGCAGGCCGGGAACCTTTTCTCCCGCGTGACTCTGGATCCACCGTGATCTTTTAAGAAGGCTGGACGGGTTCGAAGATCCTCGGAGCAATCCAAGAGTAGAGGGATGCAAGCGTTGACCCGAGAAGAAATTGGGCTTGCGAAGCCGATACTAATCGCTCCTTCCTTCCGCCGTCGGCGTTCTGCATTGAGGTGCTATCGTAACGGTTAAAATATTGGAAGCATCGCAGGCAAGATGCGATACTTCCAGGAAGTCCAAAGCAGAATGAAATAACCCAGACGGAAAGCGAATTGGTTAAAATGGACAAAATCGAAAGAAGCTTGACACAAATAAAGCATCACAGGGAACGTGCGATACTCAACTGGCAATGGAAGCAAAACATTACGCTCAGACGGCAAGCTATCGCATCCAATTCCGATAACCTGACACAATGAAAAGGGGGCGAGATGGTAGCAAAGGGGCTGACCCAACGCGCGAAAAGCGTAACGATTTGGGCGCTGTCTCGGAGAGGGGCTCATCGAACTAGACATGCCTGTGAAGATGCGGGCTACATCCCCTGGGACAGATAACACTCATCCCCGAATAGTAGGGAACACTCCCTCGTCCGATACCATCGACAGGTCTCAAAACACTGGAAAGAAGAGACCTGTAGCAAGTGTAGCCCCACCTCGCGCTCCGTCATGTCGTCATTGGCGTGCTTGATGACCTCCTTCCACTCGTCGAACGTCATGACGCCGTCATGGTTGATGTCCCCCGCGCGGAACAGCGCGCGCAGGTGCGCCTCGTTGCGCTCATACCGCCGCTGCCACTCGTCCAGCAGCGCCATCAGAATGCCGTCCGCGTCGTACGTCCTGGGAAAAAGGAATTTTGAGGTTGCATGTTCAGGGTTTACTGGTTTACGAAGTCAGTTAGAAGGCTCTAGGTTTTCAAGTTCCGTAAGCCTCGGGATTCGGGACCTCTGCTCAGCGAATACTGCCGCTGCCACTCCTCCAGCAAAGCCATCAGAATGCTGTCCGCGTCGTACGTCCTGCGGAGCAGGGTTTGGGGTTTGGGTTCGGGGATTTAGGCTTTAAGATTTAGGATTCAGGGTTTAGGGTGATAGGATGTAGGGGTAGGGGTTACAAGTCCCGAGACGCAAAAGCTTAGGGAGCAGCGGTATCCAAACGCCGTCCGCGTCGTAGGTCCTAGAGTAGAGGAAGTTGCATGGCGTTCTTTAACACCAGGATGACGTCAGTCAGAGGTTTGATGGTGTTAGGACCTGGAACTAGCACTCAAAGGTCCAATGAAAATCGGCGGGGTTGAGAGCTACTCGTTTTGGCACTGATCCAGCGGCCCTGACAGAATGCTGTCAGCGTCGTACGTCCTGCATACGCAAGACTTTGAGCGACTCAGATGACATCGTCTAGGGATTTGAGGGTTTGCTTGAGTTGAGACCTCAAAGTAACCTTCAGTAGTTCATTGGCTTTCGTTGAGTCAAGACGTCAAAGTAGCAACAAACGTTGAGTGGTTCTGCAAACCCTACCCCCCTCACTTTGTTCTGGGGTGGATGAGCGGCTCGATGCGGCTGACGATGAAGCCTTTAAGCGACTCAGATGACATCATCTGAGGGTTTGAACGTTTGTTTGAGTTGAAAGCTGATTGAAATGCTGTAAACAAGCCTTCAAAGGTGTTACAAGTTCTGCAAAACCTGAGCCCCTCACTTCGTTTTGGGGTCGATGAGTGGCTCGATGCGGCTGACGATGAACTGACGTAGTTGGAGCGGCGCGGCCGCGTTCGTAAATATCGTCTTCACCGCCTCGAGCGCCTTAACGGGTTTCATCCAGCACGTGCCGTCATCTGTTTCCGGGAAAAGCGCTAGGATGCCCGAGGGGGCCATGACTTGCATGCAGTGCCTGGGAAGAGACGGAGAACGTCTACAGGTTTACGATCATGCCTACTGTTTCTTCAAGCCTGAGCTGCTTGAGAAGGTCGAACATGCGATAAGGGCTGAAGGGGTAAGAGGAATGTGTGAAAAGGAGGTCGTTATGTGAGCAAGCAAAGGGAACGATGACAGCAGACCAGTAAGGGGTTAAAGCAGGCAGAGTGGGGCTGCGCCGATGTTTTACAGCGGGCCGCCCCTCTTTCGCAATTTGGGGTGTGCGGTTAGACAAGGAAACAAAGCAGCGAAGGAACAAACCAGACCCGCATAGAAATTGGCAGGCGAGGAAGCGTCGAACTCAACGGAGAAAATAGATACATTCTAATTGCATTCGACATCCAAAAGCGGCAAACAAGTTCCTTCAGGCATGACTATGACCAGGAGTTCGTGGCATCGATTTTGACAAGGGAACGACTGCGAAGCTCAAAGAGAAAGAAACGGAGATTTAGGCGAATAAAGTAGATCGTAGACCCTTCTTTCACGGAAGACGTACCGTTTCTGTATTGCTTTCGGGAAAAACGGATCACTTTCCGCCCTGCCAAAGATCTCAGGATTCAAGGAGCGGCAAGGTACGATACGTCTGGAATTTTTGGCAGGTAAGGTTAGGTCTGCCGAACGTTTTAAACGTCTTGTAATGTATTATCAGGCGTCGAAGGTGACAAAACCAGATACAGGTACGGTATAAAAATTGGAAATAGAGCGACTCCACTCACATGTAGAACTGGAAGGCCTCGAGCGGCCGCCGCTCCGCGCCGACCAGTCCGCAAAACTGTCCAAACATGCGCGCCTTCAGGTTGTCCGCCTGGTACCGCCGGACGCTCGCGATCAGGTCCAGCAAGTTCTGCAGGAACGTCGAACTTAGTCTCAATTAAGGACTCCGGAAAATTCCTATCTTCTGGGTTAGAAAAGAAAACAAACTCAAGAGAGACAATGATAAGCTAAGTCAGAGATAAGCTCATACCAACCATTAAAGCCCAACCCAAAAAGGTACCTGCTCCGCACCTCTACCCACCGTAATCCAGCAAATTACCCTACCTGTCCCAGCGCGGCTACCTCACATTTTCTCGGCTTATTATAATTTTGCCCAAGTTTGTTGGAAAAGATGCTTCGAAGATTGAAGGTTGACCTCAGGTGAGGTGACTTCCCTTCTCTTGGGTCGACAACCGTGACAGACGCCAAGATACCAGGAAAGCAAGCTAGAGATTAAGGACCATTCGACCTTGCCATCACTTCTCGCCATCTTCTAATTTGTCCCGACCTTCCAAAAGCTTCGCGCCCTTGTGCTTCTTTGGGTGTCAAAAAGGAACGCCATGGTTCTTACTGAGCCGCTGTCATTGCTCTAGTGAACGTCCAACATGGGCTGTATATCAAGGTCTCTTCAAGGTCCATTCATTGGCATGTGTCACTTTAAAATCTGTCCGCCTCACCGCCTCAGCAAGAGCGCGCAGGCGGTGTCGGATAACGTGCCGATGGTATACGAACTCGTGCAACTAACCAGAGCGGCAAATCGGTTTATCATCTTCATTCCAAATTGCCACGTGTCATCGAAAGAATGGTCCACCTCATCGCCTCCGCGAGCGTGCGCAGGCTGTATCGTCTGTTGTGCCAGTCCTAGACGAACTCTTGCATCCACCAAAAGCTGCAAATGTTTTATCCTTTTAGATACCCTACTGCCACGTGTCACCCACAAATTGCTTCACCTCACCGCCTCCGCAAACGTGCGCAGGCCGCATCGGCGGGTGAGGTACAAGTCGTGGACGAACTCTCGCATCCAACAAAATACAGAAGCCTTTCACCCTTTTGGATTCCCTACTGCCACGCGTCACCCAGAAATTGGTGCACCTCACCGCTTCCGCGAGCGTGCGCAGGCCGTATCGGTTGAGGTGCCAGTCGTAGACGAACTCGTGCAGCTCCGGCGGCCGCGCGCCCTCGCCTTGGCGCGCCTCGAAGCTGTCGCTCGCGCTCTTCTCCAGGTACAGCTGCGCGATCACCTTGAGCAACCACCCCTTGGGCTTCACGCGCCCAATGCGGTCTGCGCAGGTTCGGAGTTTGAGGGTTAATGGAGCTTAGGAAAGAGAGTGTAGGTTTCGGAATCAGGGTCTAGGATCAGGGTTTGGGGTTTGGTGTTTGGGATTTGGGGTTTTGGGTTTTGGGGTTTGAGACACTTGGAAGCTGTCGCTTGCGCGCTTTCCCAAGTATATCTGCGGGATCACCTTCAGCAGCCAGTCCTTCGGCTACGTGTCCCATACTGCCTGCGCAGGAGTCAAAAGATTTCAGAATCTGAAGACTCTGAAGGGAAGCAAACGTTTCCAAGTCTTGACCGGACAAGGACCAGACGCTGACATCGCAAAGTGCCGTCATGCACCGTCAGCGCAACGCACCCGTGTCGAGCATCCCGGAGAAGCAGCCGTATTTGTTGCTCGACACGTTCTTCGCGCGCCGCCGCCGCCGCCGCCGCTGCGACTCCGCGTCATCCAGCCCTAGGATGACGTCAGAGTCCGCCGTTCCGCTCCGGTTCCGCCCATCCTCGTCGTCCTCGTCCCCGCTATTCCGGTCCCCGCGAGGTTTGTACCGGTCAGTTTGTACCGCCTGGTTTTCGGTGGCGACCGCGGAGGTGGGGGCTGCCTGTGCGAGGCCGCCCCACTTGGAGCGAACGAGCTGCGCGGTAAGCCGCTCCACCTTTTCCTGCGCGCGCGGATGCACGACAAGACGTTAAGACAGGCAGACAAGATCCCAGGGTTTTGCATTTTCAGGGTTGTAGGGTTTCAGGGCGGCGCGATGTGGTCAAGCAAAAGAACGTTGGTCAGAATTAAACTGGTGCTCGAAAGTTTCCGTACGTTCTGAGCCGGTTTTAGAAATAGACAAGGAGAGAGTACAGTTCCACAAACATACGAGATGGGTACGAAAGCGCTGGTTGACTACCTTTCGGGCTCCAGTTGTTGAAAGCATCGCATTATCCGCAAGGGTTTCTGAGGATGATGGCGCTACGAACGGAGTGAGATTGTTAACGCAGCAATAGGCCTTTTGCCCTCTCCTCAACCTCAGACTCTCAACTTCAGAGATGTCAATCACAAGGGATGATTGACCTCTAAAGCAAGTCAGACGCTTCACGTCCTCCTTCGCGTTTCGCAAACGTACTCGTTAATTTCCCCAACGCTGCATGCAAAACCAGAGCAGAAAACCAGCCTTTGAACCCCAAGTGCGCACGCGCGGCCGCGCACCTGCAGTTCGTCCCGCTCGTCGATGAGCGCGCATATGTCATCCTGCAGGTACGCCACGTGGGTGCTGACGGCAGCGTCCTTGTCGGTGTCCGCCGTCTGCACCTTGTCCGCCAGGTGTCCGTTCTCGTGCTGCAACGTCAGCACCGCCGCCTGCATCGACACCAGCTGGCCCTCCGCCTCCCTCTGTGACGTCAGCAGCTCCTGCAAGTACTTTCCTATTCTTTTGCTCTGCCCATTCTTCCCGACATTGATGAGCGTCCTTTCGCACAGATTCCTGAGCTCAACAGATTCAGGATCGCCGTGTGCACGTCAGTCGGCCCTCCTCGACATCACGAACTTTGAAGTGGGGGTGGGGAAACGATACTATCCCTAGATTTGAGGACTGAGACTGCCAATCTGTCGCCGATTGAAAGCGCAATTTAGGAGCGGGGTCAATCAGCACCGTCCGCCGCCCCTTGCAATTCGCAAGGCCGTATGTCCCCTTGCTTGCAAACTCATTCATAATCACCGGACACTTGTTCCTCCTAGAAAAGGCATTAGGCTTAACGGAACGAGAAACTGAAAAAACATAGAAAGAAGATCGTCAAATCTGCAAGGACCACCGTCGCACGTCTCCGACAGGTGCCCACCTTCTGCAGTGCGGCATTCCGCTCTTCCAGCGCCTTCGCCTCCGTCCTCGAGCGGCCCAGCGCCTGCTCCAGCCGCTCGGCGCGCGTCGCGGCCGCGTGCTCGCGCTCTCGCGCGCGCGCCAGCTGCTCCAGTGCCTCCACGCTCGCGTCCTGCGCGCGCATGCAGAAGGCGCGGAGTCCGTGCATAAAGGTGCTGTACCGCCGCCGAATCTGCGGGGGATTGACAGATGGAATTGTGAGGAGTATCGTATTTGTACATTCGATCAGTGTATTTAGAGTCCGGAAGTAGGAGAAAGTCCGAAGTTTGGGCTTCGGCTCCTAGAATCGAACCCTTAAAGACCCCTGCCATCTCGAGCCCTTGATTTGTAAGCTTATGAAAGTCGACATAAGGAACCCTTCAGCTATCGTGAGCAGCCAGTGCGGAGCCGACAGCGGCGGACACAGCCCGCACCTGACGGCCGCCTTCCAAAAGACAACGTCGAACTCAAGCGTCTACTTAGAAAGAATGACATGATAATCGGCAGATTCGCATAGGCTATGAAAGATCACCATACCTTATCAAGTAGCCGGCCCTGCTCAGTGCACGCGGCCCGCACCTGCCGCGCCGCCTCCCGGAAGACCATGTCCACCAGCTCTAGTTCTCGGTCCACGATCGCAGTGTTCAGGATTTCGTACGACCTTTCCTGTCCGAATGGCATCTCTTGTCCGATATTCGCGCTTTGAGGAATGTCGTCCAACGTCTGTTCGAGCGCTATCGCTTCTCTCCGAGTTACAGGAACGATCGGCCCGAATGCTTCTTGCTCCCATTGGCGGATCTTCGCTTCGAGGGGGTTGGCCGGAGGGGAAGGAGGAGGGTTGGGAAGCTTGGCGGCACGGGAGGGGGTTCTTGACACCGGGGACCGGGCAGCAGTGTTGGGGTTGGACTGCGGAAACACGGGGAGTGTCAGGTACGAGTCCACTGAGAAACTAGTGCTCAGACGACTCTTTGCGTATGGGACGTACGTAATGGAAACGGAGGGTCCCAACATCGTCAAATCGGTGGGATAAGCCAAGGTGTAAAGGTTAAGAGAACGGAGCCTTCTTTCGAGTTCTCATCACTTGAGAAGGCACCTTTTCTCCCTCTCGTGCCCATTCCGACGTTAAGAGAGCCCGCAGCTCAAACGACTATCGATGCAAGCGCCAGATGACAAACCGTCGCCTCATCATAGGTTCGCTTTTCACATGTCACCAATCAGTCTTTGCGAAGAGGACAAAAGGACCGGCAATTGGTTGCCAAGCTCCCAGAACGACGATGCGACGCAGCTGAAGCACAAGATTGCAATGAACGATCCCACCCGATACATCCCCGGCTAACGTCCTGCTAGTTTCTGCTGGTCCTTCCATACCTTGACACGTAACAGCAGATGCCCTTCAAAGACAATAGCACCAGCATGTGCGCAATCAAAGCACCAGGTCAAATCATCAGATGAAGGTGCTGCTCACCGGCTTTAGGACTTGGAGCGTGCTCTCCATGTGCTGGATTTCATGCCTCAGTTCGTCCAACTCCTCCAACGCCTCTTGATACCGTTCATCCCCTTCCCCCCTCCCACTGAACTCTCCCGGTAAGTCCCTTCTCTCGCCCCCTCCATCGTCTTCCTCCTCAACAGAGTCCATCCCAAAACGGCTTCCCCCACTATTTAGTTCTTTCCGAAGCTGGTCTGAGGCGGCGGTGTCATAAGCTCCCATCCAGGCCCCCCCAGGGTGGCCGCAGGATGCGGGGTTTGCGGAGGGGTAGAAACCGGGTCCAGAGATGGGCCGCAGGTTGGGTTCGGGGGAGGTGGCCGCTCGGGCCTTTGGCTGGGGTCCGGGGGAGGAGGCGCGGGGAGGGGCTGATGGGGGCGCTGAACGACGGCCTGTACCAAAGAAGAGGGGCCATTATACAGTGGAAGTTCCAACAAAAGTAAGCATAGGTGGTGGGGGAAGAGGGCAATGGCGACTTTCTGACGCCGGCGTGCTGGGATTAGTGGGCCAATTAGAATCTCCTCTGAGAATCTTTTCAGGCTGTGAAGAGGGAATCTCAAATCGAGACGCCGGAGGCATCAGGTGTCATCAAGAATATCGAAATTGGTGGTGGTTTCAAATAGTTAGTGCACAGAATGGAGCTGGAATCAATGGTTCCTCAAAAGCCATGCAGTGGTCAAGGTCTTGGTAGCACAAAGCGAACGTTGCCCCTTCTATAAGACAGGAACCAAGTTTGGTCGGATAAACACGGCATTCCAAGTTTGAGCACAGCTGGAGGTCATTAGTTGCTCATATGGAGAAAAGACGACACTGCACTCTACCTCCAAAAAGACTCCCATCAATGTTGATGCTGGCCAGTGGGACCCTGTCCTCCCCGTCAGTCTCGGGAGCTCGAGCCTCCCTAGCGTTCTCATACCGCGCCTCCACCAGCATCTTCTGCAGCTGCAGCTTCTCGGCATAATTCTTGAGGCGTGTCTTGCCAAATGGAAACCCCGCCACAGCTCCTGCTGAGCTGGCAATCGCTTGATCAGCATTGCTTTTGGCTGCGGTGAATGCTGCCACGCTCGGGAGGATGCCCTTGGCTTTAGACTTGGTTGGCGAGCCAGCATGTAGAAGGATGGGGCCGGGGTCGAGGCAGCTCGAGAGCGGGGGAGCTGCCATGCTGATTGGACAGTCTACCCAGAGATAGGTTAGCCAGCTCAACTTACTCAGAGGCTGTTTGGGCAGGGTACTGAGGAATCCGTTGCCAATCTCCCTTACTGCTGTTCTGCCAAAGGGCAGAAAACCGACTTAGGTCTTTGTCAGGTCTGCTTGTGTTGTGTTGTAATGTAATGCAGGAAGGTCATTCAAATCATTCGGCCTGCAACTGGTCTTCTTCAAAGATTAGGGTTAGCGCTAGCTTAGTCCACAAAATGATGCTTTCAAATGGTTGAGTGCCCCTTTACGCCAGAATTTTTGAAGAGTCTCCAATCCTCTTTGGACCTGGGGCACAACATTGGATCTGTTCTTCCACCCGCAAGCAATCTGCCGAGATAGGTTGACATTCTGGGCCTATAATTGCTCCAAGGCACCTAGTAGACGTTGTCAGACTTTGCTACCTGTGGCCGATTGGACGGCAGAATGTTTTGTCTGTATGACTAAGTACACCGCCTTACAGATGGACACAAAGATAAAGACACCATAGAATCGCATAGATTCAGCATTGCTCATCTATGGTAGTCGTCTGCATTTGCGCAAAATGCTATGGTTGCGCGCTGACGCATCCTTGCATGTGCGACCTAGGCTCGGGGCTTCACCTAGCCGCGTTGATTGGTTGGTTCGAGAACTTTGGTTTGAAAGGGCCTCATCTGATCGTTCAAAGTTTGGCAGCCTTTCATCCGACGGTAGAGAGTTCTGGCAGCTTTGACATGCCGCCGCTGCACACTTGAACTTGCAGGCGGCGACCAGTCCAGCCGGTTTGAGGGGACGCCCTCCTGCAGCGCCGTGGTAGAAGTCTGCCCCAAGGTTGGAGACGTCGCCGCATCAGTCGAAGTCACTTCCAAGGAAGGAGCCCCCATGGCGCAGGCACAGTGACAGGGCAAAGAGCTCGCAGATTTGCATGATTATGGCAATGCACAAGCATACCGCTGGGACTGGAGGCTGAAACAGCGGAATGTAGGTTCTAAAAATCTGGTGGGCTTCGAGAAGGTGACTAAGATAACTCTAGGGTGCTGGGGCCTCCCCTCATCTGTCTGACCTCGTCCTGATTTGTCGAAGTGTCAGCGTTGAAATGGCCACTTCCACTCTGTGCAGATTACAAGGGCTGGAGAGAACACTTTCACCTGCCGTTAATGGACCGACTGTGGATCCCAGAGGCTCTGTCTTGCCCCTAACAAATGCAATTCAATTGAGGAGAAGTCCGTGGGGAGGCTTGCCGGTTCTGTCACCGGCACGTCACTTACAGAGATCCAGAAAGTCCAGCAAGAAGGGCCAGCTAATTTGCAGAGCGGAGAGCGGGGAAAACAATGCTCCCAAGCAAAGCACTCTTGGTAATCTGCTTTTGTAAAGATGTATGATGAACATCTGTATATTGTTAATCAATCTGTGCCTCATTGCATTTTCAGAATGAACTCAAGCAACTCTGCATTGACAGAGTGGTGGTGCTAGACCTGCTAACAATCTTCACCGGGTCAACCTCAGTACATGGCCTGACCTCATTCCACATCATTGATGCAGCTTGCTCACAATGAAAGCACACATCTTGCTACAAACTTTGCCCCTCTACTGGTGCAGAACACATCCCAAAGGCTCCATTCTACAAAGTTGAAGCAGTCATTCGCTCGTGGCGGCTGCAAGGTGTGACGGAGGTAAGTTGGCTGGTGTGAGGTACAATTATTGGATCAAAGTTCCACAATGGTGAGACAGCATGATGCATAACCATCATTACTTTGTAGTGGTCACCATGAGAATCCTTAAAAAAAGGCACATTTGCAATCACAAAAAACTCAACAAACCATAGTGAAATCAATTGCGGGGCCTAAAACTGCCACAGAACCAGCGACACTCAGGATATGGTCCAGCGACGTGGGTATGGTGTGATGAGATAGTTGTAATCCTTGTTTGGCAGGCGTTGCTGGCTGAGGGCATTCGGGGGCTGACGGTCTTGGAAGTGAAGGGGTTTGGCGCACAGAGGGGATCACTGGAGCGTCAGGCAGGTACGGCATGAGCACTCTACTCATAAACAGCTCTTGCTACTATAGAGTATGTGGCTCTCCTCAAGTAGGCAATCCTGTCCAGCTGCAGTGCAAAGGAAAGTGCATCTCGTTTTCAAGTCCGACAGATTATGTTCAATCAGGCAATTTCCCCTGAGGGAACGAATGAAGAAACCGCATCGCTTGATGAAAGGACTCAATCAAGGCTTATTTGCAAGGGTGGTATCACAAGTAAACTGCGTTTGTCTATGACACTGCAGGCTCAGAGTTCCTGGACTCCGCTTTTCTTCAGAAAACCAAGATTGAGATCGTTGTGGTTGCGGATCAGGTAAGCTTCCAGATCGTGTGCAAATAAATGGTCCTTAAAAGGCAGACTCTGAAAAGTGTAAAGAAGTTCTTACAGTGCTGGGCGTGGGCACTGCCAGTAATGTCTGAGGGCTAGACTTCATGCCATGGGAGGACGGATAGTGTCTTCAAACATTGACATTGGAGGGAAGTCCATTTTGAAGGTGGTATGGCATGCTGCTCAGATTCATGAGTCACTTGTTGCCCTTGTACCCAGTCGTTTTGATTACGACTTCAAGTCAGCACCGCAAAAGCGGGCTGAGCATTGCTATTGTGTCATTCAACAAAGGCTCAATTTGACAAGACTTGTCTCGTGCCTTCTGAAGGACAACTTTGATAGGAGTCGTGTCATGCCCTGATTGCAGGTTGACCCCGTGATCGATACAATCATAGATGCTGCAAAGACGGAAGAAATTGGGGATGGGAAAATCTTTGGTGAGTGGCTCGTTCTTTCTTGATTCACTTCGAGCTTTTGGCTGGGTTGTTGAAGTAGGAAAGTTGCTCAGGAAACGTTTGGAGGAAAGGTGTAACCGGATCAGACTAGCAACGTGTACTGCGTGCTGGCCGCCAAGTCATCAGCCTGCGGATATGCCTGGTACTGACAAGCGAAGCTCGGAGTGCTCTGGGTCTGACTTCCGCTGTGGCTGCCTCAAACGCTGCATCGATTGGGAGCTTGGTTGGAACCCGCTCACAACCAGCATTAGTATGCGTGATCTGAAGCTGACAGAAAATGATGGTCAAAGTTGTCAAGCTAAACGTCCAGAGGAAGACGTCTCTTCACCATGGTCCATCTTTTGCTTGGGGTTCACTCCATGAGCTTCCAACCTCTGAATCAGCAAGCCAACCCGCGTTCTGCTGGCATATGGTCTCCTTTGTTTCTCTAATAACATTTTGATGTTGCGAATCTGAGCGCTGATAACTGGTCATTCAATTCGCAGTTTCACCCGTATACGAAGTGATCCGAGTCAGGACAGGTGAGTGTATAGCCATCCTGCTCGACTTTAAATCGAACTACTGTGGTCTCGTTCAGTATTCATTTTGATCAGATTGGTTCAGATCTGGAAGCAGCTCGAGAAGGTTGGAAATCTTGCAACTTCTCTTCCCCACGGAAGCAGACTACCAAAAGCAGCACGTATGATCGTCCCTCTTGACTATGACTAGGTAACAACATTAGAAGTATGACCATTGTCCTTCTTTTGTTGTCTCACTAGGTGAAAGGGGCGTTGATGCGGAACGAATGGCAGGCGGTCGCTCAGACCTTCTCAACCTTGGCCAAAAGGATTAAGTGTTGCCTCAATAATCGACCTGCTTTGTGAACTGCTTCTCGGCAGAAAAAGGACGTGATGAAACACACAGTTTAAATGAGCCGATGTCTGATGAGTTCATGCTCGACAAAGCCTACCTTGCGACCTCGTGGAACTTCATGAGCGGGTTCATGTCAGTCGAGCTTGATAAGAGCCCCGTCGAGGTATCCTTTCAATTGCATGACCACAAGCATCGATCGTTAATCTTTGCATGTCGGCAGAATATTTTTCTGATTACTAGCACTTCCTTTGTGAGCGAGTGGTAGCAAGATTGATGATGTGTACGCGGACCATGCGAACGGCCTTGCCCTTCAAGTCAAGTCAGGTCTTAGAGTGATAGTTCCAAGTTTGAAAGCTTGAATTAACAGTCACGTTCTGACGATGCTCAGTCTCAATGACTCGCGGTAAATACCGAACTGTGAAACAAGGCGTTTAAATCAGGGCTCGGAAGCAACAAATCAACCGAAGGGGGGCGTGCACTGCATCATCAACATGGCATTACAAGGCTTTTCACTCGATCCGAGTCTTAAGGTCACTGCTTGCGAGGGTACGTGTAGGAACGTATCTACATAGAGGCGCAATCAGCCCGGTAAACATGCTCAGCGGCTGCATGGCTGCTGTGATATAATATATACTAGTATATACGTGGGAATTTCTTGTTAAAGAATTGAAACTGCTTTTGAGGTCGTGCAAGTACATAAAGTTCTGAGTTCAATTTCATTGATAATATTCCATGCCATAATGCCAATGGTGGCGAAATGCTGGCAGGATAGTCGCGTCCATCGAATCTGTTCAACAGAGCGCAGTCACAACAAAACGATCTAATCCAAGCTGTCAATCAGGTGAAGCGGTTATGCTATCACGTATGATTCAGCGGCCAAACTACGGTGTGCACACTAAGGTAGGTACCTAGGAAGCTAGGCAGATGACGAAAGCTCTGAGCTAGGCTTCTGTAGGCTTGAGTCTTGACTCTCTTCTGTACAATGTTAACATGTAGGTATTATTACCTACTCGCTAGGTCAGTAGGTATTACCTAGGGTAGTGGGCAGTGGGCACTGGGGACCGTAAAGAAATAGGAGGTGATTTTGGATTCACGAAGATTGCACAAAAGTCAGTACGTAACAATGTCAGCCGTGCATGTTTGCACAAAGAAGCTTTGGTCCGTCCGATGCATACCGGTAAACAACTTTCGAAGTTCCATATTCCAATCCCCTGAGTGACGATATCCCGAGTGACGATTATCCCCCGGGGAAGGTTGATCCACCTGGAGGCCGGTCCAAAGTTCAAGCCCACCACGTAAGCCTGGCCGGTCCCCGGGACATGCCCGGTGGGCCCTTGATACCTTGAGGCTAGCTGAACTCTAAATTGAGGCCCCTCGGATGATCTAGGTTTTGCTAAACCGGCACTCGGGAGAAAGGTGCCGAGTGGCTCTGGCTCTCGGGGACCGGCGCGTGCGCCAGCGTGGACGATGACCTGGGCTGGTGATCGGATGACCGTCCGATACTACCGTTTTCACGAACCGGCGGCTTCGCGAATGCAGGACAGGAATTTTCAAATGAATCAGTGCACAATCACGCTTGAACCAAATTCCTAGTACCGTACCTACCAACTGATACCTGGGTAGTGGGCACGCCGCTGCAGCCGCGCTGACACTGGCCAGCCTGTCCGACAGGTCACAGAACTTCAACCTGTCAGAAGTGTCAGCTCCCCCTCCCTGTGCTGAATCAGTGAATGCTTTGGCAGTGCCGATTCCTGAGTTGCTGATTCCGAGTTTCTGAATTTGTAAGTTCTTGCTGAGCATTCGAAATTCCAGATCCTTGCCAGCGAAGTTTTCTTCAGCAATCGATAGCTCAACGCTTGCTTCTCCAACTTTTCGTCGCTGCTGCTTTCACATTGTTGTCAAGAAAAGCTTTCACATTGTTGTCAATTTCTTGACAGCCGCAAGGATACGATGGCCCCCGTGACTCAGTCCCCAACTGGAAAGCTCTCCACCTGCTGCGGGGAGTCCTGCAAGTGCTCCACCGTACGCACGTGCGACTGCGGGGACACCTGCAACTGCTACCAGTGCAAAGAAATGTCCAAGTCGTCTGCTAAGTGCTGCACCGATGGCTGCACCTGCAAGAACGGCTGCTCCTGTGGGGAGAGCTGCCAGTGCTCCGATTGCGGGGGGAGTAAGGTGACAGGCGCTGAGGGCGGCGCAGCCAAGACCTGCTGTGGGGCGGGGTGCACCTGCACCGCCCCCTGCAGCTGCGGCGACAGTTGCTCCTGCGCTTCGTGCAAGGGGACCAAGGGCCAGGCATCTGCATCAAGCGGCGGCCGTGGGTGCAACAAGCCGAACTGCAGCTGCGGGGAGAACTGCACGTGCAGCGGCGATTGCGACTGTGCTTAGGCTCAGAGGTGAGAGGTTTGAACTCTGCATGTACTGCTAATTTTCTTTGAAATTGCCTGATACGCTGGGCGCTTGCTGATAGGGTATTGGATGTTTCAGTTCGTCCTGTGGATATGCATGGGGTTCTTTTCAGGTGAACAGTGGTCTGGAGACGCTGATTGCCAAGATTTGCAGGTCATATTGTTTGCATTTGGAGACATCAGTCAGATTGGTCAGTTATCTTTGGTCAATGGAAGGCTGAGATGAACTTTACTCTATGGCTGTCCATCTCAAGTATGTGATGAGAAACCAGAATATTGGGTAGTGCATGTTTTTCATTTGCTATGAAGGTTATTTCTTCCTCTCTTCGTTGACCGCTTGTCCGCAAGATGCAACTGTCAGAAGCTCTCATATAATCATTTAGAAACAGATTTAATACTTGTTCGCTCTGAAGCACGGGACTTGACGATGAGCATGTCCACAAGCACCACATCAAGACACTATTGTACGCTTTTGGTTTGCTTCACTCATCATCGCTCCGTTTTTTAGGGGTATTGCTGCTTTCTCAATCTTGGTTTTCTAACCTTCCTACCTATCACCTTATGCAAGGTATTGTTTAGTGACCCCTAGAAGGAATCTTCTCCCGATTGGTATGGTATTGTATGTCTTTGCAGCAAGCAGTTTTGCACTTTTTGATTGCTCAGAAACAGATGAGATGCTATCTGCTATTTCCCCTCTGCTACATGCGTGCTTGGCTTGAGAAAGACAATCATTGCCCTCTCTTGCTCCCGGCTGTATGGGATGCCAACAATCTGCAGAGCAGGAAGGCCTGTTTGCATTGATTCTCATGCTTCATCCACTGAAATGACTTGCTGATGCTGGAAGCAAATGAGCAGTTGCTCTGAAACAGTACTGATGTGCTGCTTGAGATGGAGGGGGGCGGGAGCCTTGGGTGAGGCCTTGGGAGTGGTGGGGAGACGCGAAGGAGGAGAGGAGGGTATGATTTGGGGTCTATTGAGGCTGTCTCTTGGGAGGGAAGATAAGGGAAGGAAGAGAAGCCCTGTCTATGGCTCCTGAGATGTGTCCTAAGGCATATCTTGTACGTTGTCGAACGTTGTTTGTTGAAGCGAGATGTTCTTTTCTGCAGAACTCAAAAGTTTTCCAATCAATTCTGGTGTTAAAGATGGTGAATGTACAAATTCTGGTTGTGATTCTCTCTACCTGGACATAACTTGTGCAATTTTCATTTTGCAGAATTCTACACATGGGCCGTTGCATACAAGAACATGGCTGGAGCGTTGAATGCTGCTGCGGTTTGCCTTCAATGGAGTTAAATCGGGTCCTCAGCGGTGTAGAGATTATGGGGGCATGAAAGCGACGAGCCTGTGACTTGCTTGTCCCAAAGACGATCTTAAGTAGTTTTCTTGTTTTTCTTGAATGCAACTTGTTGCCTTTGAGAGCATATTAGATGTAAGACAGGAGCACCTCACATGGACTTGTTGTGTATATTTCTAGCCCGTTCGAAGGTGCTCTGAGTAGAGGGCCGCGCCTTTTGTTGTCCTTTGAGCTCAATTGCAAATTCAATTACTAACAAACTCACTATTTAGCTACTTACGAACAGGCTCCGCCAGAACTGAGTTTTGACATATGTGCATGCTATGTTGAATTGCTGGTTATTGCTCTTCGTACTCAAAAGTTGCAGTGAAAGATAATAGCCAACTTTTGAAGGTTATGCAAAACCAGAGTTGAGGTGATGTCTCATGTAAGGTCCCCAGATTTGGATGTTATCAATCCTGTGAATGATGTGTTGCTTAGCCTTCTATAGACATGAATTGCAGGCCTAGCAAGAGCTGTGAATGGAGTCGGTTCAATTGCATACCCGCTTGCTTTGATGCGTAACCATCACAGCCGTATAAGCGATCAGTTGGTGCTCTGTGGGAGTCGCAGCTCCATGAAAGCGCACACTTACCAATCCACAATTGAGATTTTCATTAAATTGCACTGTCCTCGGCGGATGGCCAATGATGTGTGATCGAGTCGACCTCGCACTGCAAGTTCTAAGCTTAAAAATCATATATACCGCCATGAATCACCAAGCTTAACTGCCTGGCACATGATCGACTCGAGCATGTTCCTAAATGAAGTGCCCTTAACTGGGATGCAGTGATTTGGCCATAGACTCTCAGTGTGTGACTCAACCACGGGCCATGACATGCAGCAGAATACGAATTAGCAAGATGGTCAATTGTAGATAGACAATGAGAACGCAGTCACGTCTGAGTGACGTGAAACTCAACTTGATGCACTGCGATTTCAACGTACTGCATTGAGAGCCAGACGGATTGGAGACAGGTATGCAATAACCACTTGCATGGTTAATGATGACTTGGCTCATTCCAGGTATCCACTGGAAACCTTAACGTAGGAGCTGTTGCTTGCACATACTTGGCTTGCGGCATCCTACAAAATTTCCAACTTTCGCTCAAGATGGCCGGTGCTTCGTACCTCACCTCTTTATGCATATTATTCTTTATAAATGTCACTGGACCATAAAGCAAAGGTGGCACTTTGTGCTTCAAGTTGATCTCAATGTGAGCGTCCTCCTCTTCAAAAGTATCCTCTTGCTATTCCGCTACCTTGCTGGATGACGCCACTTTGAGTCCGTGAGAAGAGTGTGGCAACTGGGACCTCACAAAAGCTTCTGGGAGCGAAAGTAGCTTCTTGAACTTAGGCACATAAGCCCGTTTATGGAAGTTGTCGAAATCATTCTTCTCGATGGAATCGAGGATCTGGCGGTAGAGCACCAAGGAAGCATACACCTGCAGACGGAATGAGCTGTCAATGCCCGATACTTGGGCCAACAGGCAACAACAACAAGTTATGTCAATGCGCAGAAGACGAGCAGAATCAAGCAGTCAACACATTACCATTAGTCTTGAACTCAAACCTTCCTACAACAATCAGGCTGACAATGGGGTCAAATTCTCCTTAATCACTGGACACTCGCTCATACAAAGCGACTAAACTATCTCCAGATCACTTTATTGGACCTGAAGAACTCCCGATTCTAGAACATGTTGTTCAAATACCAAGTCATGACTCCGTAAGCCAAGTGCACAAGCGCTTCCCCTACCAAAGACTTGCTTAGATTGTCACTGACAACGAACGTCGCGAAAAAACGACGAAACCCCTAACCAACCGACTCTGCTCGACAATTCCCTTTCGATCCGTCGCAAGCCTGTAGGTCCTGTTCTTCACGTCATCATGCGCCCGCAGGCTAGGTACTAAACCACTGAAGAGCTTACCCCGCTCCAACACGGTGTGCCAATCTGCAGACTCCTTCCTGATGAGCTGCCTGTGAGGAGTTTTCGTTTTCAAGAAGATTGAAGAGCTTACCGGCCACCGGCTCTGCCTGTCCAGCTTCATGACGCCCCTCTCCGCCTTGGCGAAGTAGTCGCGGGCGCGCGCGAGCTGCCACCTCATGAACGAACGCCACCTGTCGGTCACGACACCGTCGAAGATGTCCTGCTCCGTCACGCCAAAGCGGCTCAGCTCCTCAAGCGGGAGGTAGATGCGGCCGCGGCGCGCACTGCAAGGGGCGGGGGTGAATGACGTCAGTAGGGGTTTGGTTCATTGCAGTGATGAGAGGGAAAAAAGCCCTGTCTCTTGGGATGACAAAGTCAGCCTTTGATATAATACGGCGTCAAATTGGTGGGGCTGCAGCAGATTCGTGTGCACTGCTTGCGACTGCCCGACCCAAAATGTATCTGGAGAGCCACAAAGTGCGTTTCAACGATTGTTCTTATATTCGATGCAGGAGAGCGCTGTCTTTGAGGCATCCGTTTCTAAGTCGTTCTGCGGACCTTTTCAAGAATGTTCATCAGAAACTCAAGTGTCGTTCTGGCCAAGTTCTACGCTGACCCAACTCACTTGTCTGTCCAAATGGAGCCATAATCGAGAAATTACTGCTGCCCAACGGGTTCCGACACACAACGAGCAAGCTTCCAACTGCTTCCTTCTTACGCTCATCCAGGAAATCGCCAAATACCCGCACATTCCACTTCCGTTTCGGCCATACAACTGAGAAAAGGAACACGAGGGTGACACTTGAGCAAGAGCAGTTGTCCAGACGGCTCACTCTTCGCCCACATCCCGCAGGATGTTGGTCAGCTGGTTGGCAATCCCGAGCGCCAGTGCGTCATCATAGATTTCGCGAACGGCGTCCTCATCTTCGGCGTACTCGGGCGCAATGCCCATCACGGGCGTGCTCATGAGGCCGACGGTGCCGGCAACATTGTAGCAGTAGAGGTACAGCTCCTCAAACGTCTCGTAGCGCTTCTTGTACAGGTCCATGCGCATGCCGTCGATCATGTCGCGGAACGGCTGCAGGGAAAGGTTCCAAGTCTCAGGGGGTAGTTCCAGGATGTTCTGGGTTAACCTTAACCCTGTTGCCCATATGGCCAGGAGAGGGCGCCGCAGGTTCACCTTGAGGATTCGACCCTCTTGACGAAATATTGAGCCGTGCAATGCCGACGGAAAGGAGACCATATGTGGGACCCGTTTCTGCTCGGTGCGAATACTGAGGGCTCTCTAAGGGATAAGCAAAAAAGAGAAAGCCTCCGTCCATGTGCACACATGTGTCTTTATAATGTTGTGGAACCGGCACAAAATGACACAAATCTTAGCTCTTGTGGTTGCTGCTTTTTCTCTTGTGCTTTGCTGCTTTTCAGATTAGGAGGAGCGAGGGCAGTACAGAGAGGGTTGTTCCCAGCACTTGATCAAGCTCCATATGCATGCCATCAGTCATTTTCTATCACATTTTGCCTGCCAACGTACAGTGCTAGTGAGGGAACCCATTGCAACTCCCCAGCGTAATCCCCACTGAAACGATTCCAACCAAAAACTGAGGACAGCGTGGCATATGGCAAACCCATCGTGGCTTCAATGTCAACCTGCATCAACCCCATAATGCAGACAGCCAAGTTCTGAAGAAGTTTCCCACACACTAACCCATCTCGGTCAAGAGAACCTTGGCCTGCAATTAGCTAAACCCACCTGGATGTGAACAGGAAACTTTCGGACGGTGTCTGTGAGCGCAGCGTCCAGCATGTCAAACGGCTTCCCGGCAAACACGTCCTCCAGGCGCTGCTCCCACCGGTCCAGCGCGGCGGGCGTGATGTGAGACGCATTGGGGCCATCAACCAGCTCGTCGGTGCGACGGCACCAAACTACAAAGATCACCGAGAATGACGTCAGCTCTGACATGGACGAACACTTCTGTTGCATTCTTGCTTCAATTTGAAATCCTTTCGATGTGGTTGCATTGGGTCCGAGAACCAGCTCATTCGATGCGGCAGCACCACACTGCGAATAGGAAGAAGAAGTGACATTCGGTCTGAAAGATCTGAGATTTGGTTAAGTCCTTGCTCCAGAGACTAGTCTCTCATGCCACTGTCCGCGCATAAAAGTATTTAAAGCGGAATTTGTTGATGAACCATCAAAGCCGCACAAAACTGCAGAAACAAGGCAGACCAGAAGAAGATGTACCAACGTACCATGCTTTCATTTGTGGCAGGTCACTTTACAGTGTCAGCTTCAGAAGCTTTGAAGTTTTTGAGACGAGTTGAGGCCATCCAAAGGGGCCGCAGCAATAATACAAGGAAGGAAAGAGCTCTCTTTCCTTCTTGCTGTGAAAAGACCGACTCTGAACATAAACCATGTCGGCAGGATAGGAGTCCAACAGTCCAGTTTTGATTTGATCTTGGTTTTGTTACACTCCTTTCCATGAGGCCACATTCTGACAAGTAAAAGCCTGGGCTGTCAGATATTGATCGAGGCCTTGTGAATCAATCAAACCTAACAAAGTGATGCACACGAGCGCTAAGGTGAACTGGCAGACGCAGGCCTCCAATGCTGGGCACACTATCCAGACTGCAGCGCAAATCCAGCTTCCCGCTCAAAAGAAGTCCACTTCCCGGGGTTTTCTTAGCATCCCACAACCAAGAGGTAAAGAGACACAACAGGTATTAACCACACTGCACTTGAATGACCAAGATTGAGGCAATCCGGCTTTCTGATTTGACTTTCAATGAGCCGGTTTGAACTTTCAATGAGCAGGTTTGAGGACTCCCAGTGAGACAAGCAGCAAAACGGATGTCAAACGATGGCAACCAACAACATTCTTAATCCAGCAGTTACGTCCAGAGAACGGTCCTGGGAGTCCTGGGAGTGCTCCGGAATTTGAGAAAACTAAAAGAGTCGGACAGCAGTTTTTGGCCCGACCAGCATCTGCGATTGTCAAAACTGACGACGGAGGCCACTGCAGGGCCACATTGCACTGCAACGACTGACAATTTCTTGACCAGTCAAACACGCATCTCCTTTCCGAAGAGCTTGATAACACCTGCCTCGTATTCTATGCAATGCTGGAACTTCAGAATGCCTGTATAGTCCAAAATAGCAGGTAGACAAAGCCGCGCGTATTTCTGCACCAGCTCTCATTGCAAAAAGATACGAGTCCAATCCCACATTTGCATACAAAGATTATGAAAAGCTAATGGTTTGAACCAGTCCCCGAATGTGGAATTCCCCAAAAAGCTGGTAGCCTCTGCCAAAAGGTTGTCCTGGACTCCAATTCCTGCCCGTGGACCTCTTTGACGCAACTCACTAACCGTCCTGTGAAACCTTGAGACAACCCGCGCTGCTCCTCATGTGCAACTTAAACACATCCCAAGTCGACACGGTAATGCAAGCAACGCTCAAACTAACAAAGCACAGCAACAGAGCCTGTGTTTGATCAGTCGGATCCAACGATTGATAAATGCAGCTTGTAATTTGAACTTACCATAGATGGCCCAGATTGCGCGTTGCCTCTCAGGAGTCATGAGTTTGGTGCCTGCACAACCATGTCATACCTGTCAATGTGCGCTCACTCATGCTCCAATGACAGCAGAACAAAAGTTGCTTGCTTGCAATGCAGGCTCGGCAATAGGAACACAACCCCAAGCGCAGCTCCTTTCTGCATGACCTGACAGTACCAGCCTGAGGGCAGCACAACACAGACACTTTCATGCAGATGCTGGGTCTGCCATGCAAGCAATGATACTAGCTCTGTTTTGCGAACCGATGGCTGCAGATCTGTTGCTACGCCACAACAACAATGAAATGAATGCATGACGTAAGAACAACGCATTCCAGACAGCCCTGTCACAAGCATTCGCACTCACCAAGGTAGAACGTCTTTGCGTACTCGGCGCAAACCTCTCCAGACCTCTCATATGCTGTCTCCAGCAACTCGCCGTCCATTTCAGCCCCAGGCGGTATCCGTATGTCCGCCATCAAAGCCGCCTGTTTCCGTACAGCATCGTCAACCCTTTCCTGCGCCGTCTTTTGCCTGACTGGACTGGTGCTTCTAGACCTGGGGAAATCCAGGCTCGGCATTGCCAAAGAGGAAGAGGCTTGCAGACTGAAGCTGCTCCTCTTTCGCTGCGCCCCCTTCTCGCTGCCATCCTCTCTGTCTCTGTCAGCAGCCTCTCTATCCACCCGCAGGATAGCCTGCACGCATGCCTTCCTAGGTACCTGCGGGACTCTGCCAGCGCCTACCTGCCGCCCTCTAAGTTGCTCCAGAGGGTCTGCCCTGAGTAAGGAGCGGTTACCGTAACTTCTGCTTGCATCATAGGAGGAGGATGCGGCATCTGTCGTTCTCGCACTCGGATCGCCAGCAGCGAACCTGAAAGCGGCAGTACCCGCTCCAGCGGCCTGGGCCGCGCAGCTCTGCATGCTTGCTTAGGCACCTCTTTCTACTACGAGATTTATATACAAAAGGAAGCGGAGCTGTCCAAAATCTTCCAGTGTGCTCCCTCTGCTGTGTCAGGTCCGGATCTAGCTCGCCAATAAAGGGGTTGTCGCTCAGTCAACCTACCAAACACAAGGGCAAGGATCGAAGGGAAAATATAGATCTACCACCAGCTACTCTGGTTTGGACGAGCTTATACTGCTACTCAACACGCGCAGATCTGTGAATCAATCAACAACAGGCAACAACTTTCTTCACAGAGGCTCCGATTCGATTCCAGCTCAACCTGTTTATGGCAACAACACCATAACACAAATATCGTTCATAAGGTCCCCTCCAAATCGTCTAGGCTACGAACTCATCTCTTTGATTGTATCTCTCTCATCAAAGAGAAGACTGAGCACTCTTGAAATTGCGGCCAGGAATGGCGGCCGGACTCGTGCGAGCTGTGACTGGCATTCATCGAGATGGTTTCTCTGGAGACGTACCAAGTCACAGAGGTCTCTGAGAGGAGGGATTCGGGAGGAAGCCTTGCCATGCTAAAAGTTAAAGCGACCCCATAGGAATCAACCTGTGCTGCAATGTCGCCCGCAAACCCCATTCTTCTGCCGCTGGAATCTCGAGAAGGGGAACGGTTTCTGCTCAACTTTTGTGCCGCGGTTGCCGAACCACGAAACGGTTCTGCAGTGATCGCAGAGGAAAGTGCAAAACAACAAACTTTCCGACGGAGCGAGACCATGGGCGGGGTCCTCTACAGGAATCACGAGCTTCAGTATCGGGTTGTCAGAGCGGTTAGGATCATGCGACAGGAAATCCACAACGTGTTCGCTTTTCGTACTCAGCCAATAGGAGCAAGGCAGCCGCAAGCTGTCCTGATCGCATTGGCAGCCGCAGATTTGGTAGGGCTGTCGTGGCCTCCTCCTTGGACTTCATCTGACGGCCACGATCTTCTCCTGACTCAAAGCGCCGGGTAGTACAAATTGTGGATCTTTAACCGTTGTTAGTTTGTGGTTCAACCCGCTCTGTAACGAAACTGGATTGATGAAGCTTTCTGGAGGGTTTGATATGCATGGGCTAATAAGAATGGTTTGCGTGGTTTGCAAACGCCTGTAGTTATCGTGGTCACCGGGCACTGACATGCCGGCCGGCATGCTGGTCGCCGCGCAAGCTCGACTTGAGTCTCAATCCAGGCGAGCCGTCGATTGTGACTAATGGACGGTGCCAATTGATTTTGCAACCCACAAATAATCCCGAGTGACTCTTGAAGGTATATATCGCCAAAACTACCAGGTATTTTCACGACTATACTTGAACAGGATCTGTTCTATAGTTCGTACACCCTGTCTGTGTTCTCCAACACTGACAAACTCCTCAACCGGGATGGTGAGCTAAGCCTTCCTTGCCTGAGCGCGAATACCTGCGTGGCTTCTCCTGACCAGTCGGGGGAGGCCACTGCCTAATGAACGTCCCACCGGCTCATTCCGCCGGTGGTTGATGGCTTGGAAGCGTTCTGACCGGTCACCCAATTTTTCCTCCTCCAACCTTCTGAACCTTATTCAGTCCTCCTTTTCCCTTCGCACTGGCTGCAGGCAGCTGCCTTCAAATGTTAGCCAAATATATTATTTTAGCAAAAGTGTTCTCCCAGTTAGCGCTGGCAATCCACCCACTGATTAGTTATTACTGTGCACCATGTCAGGATTGACCGGGCAATATATGAGTAGAACATTATGTCACTATCATATATACCCCAATTTCGCTCTTGTTAGACCATGAACAGAGACGAATCCAATTTGGATGATGTTGCACGGTTACATTACATAATAAGCTTAGCGAGACCGTTCGTAGCAACATGAAATTGCCGGTCAGAACCTTCAAACGAAGACGTCCTTGAGAAGATGATGTTTGAGACGGTCCACCTTGAGTGCTAGTAGCCTATTGGATTGTACAACTTTTTGAGTGACGTTGCAGAGATCTACAAAGCAAGATTGAAGCAGAATGGTAGGCGGCTAATATGTCTGGCTCCGGTCTACTGTACACAAACGGCCCCTTAGCTTTTCGTTTCCGTTCTATCACTCTACGCTGGGGTTTTGAACCACGATCAGGATGAAGCCGTTGTCTGGTGCTATCATGATCTCGTGCTTCTTTGACCGGATGCGCACGAAGGTCAGCTCGTTCTGGAACAAAGGAGGATCCAGAATAAGTCAAGCGTGATGGTTGGCTGGCGCCGTTTTCCCCTTTTGCGAACGTTATACAAAAAGAGCTCCGGTTAACGAGCCTCTAAATGATTCACCAAGATCAGCAGAACAACAAACAGACGTAGCTTAAGATGCGGATTGTCGTGAAAGGGGATTCGCTGCAAGATATAGGAATGTAAAGGAATAATTGATCGAAGTGCATTTTTGGCGCTGGAGCAGTGAGTACACATACACACGCGTATGACGGGAAAGGCAGCGTGACGGTGATAAGCCTGCCCTCAGAAGAGTGTCGGTATGCTAACAAGTCAGCAAACAGGCGACCTGCTCGCATGAGTATGTGCTACTTCCACACCGTCTGCTCGCTCAGTCTGATTCAGGAGTGTGCTGTGACGAGAGTGACGAGTAACCCCTTACCCGATCCTTGTTAGCGTCCAGGTTCAGAAACCAGAAGAGTACGAAAGAGTGTGATACTCATCATAGCGGTTGTCTTTGACAAAGCAGACGCTCAAAAACCTCAGTACATGACCGAAAATTTTGCCCGTCAGACGCGCAGATTCATGGATGCGCAAATGCTGGGCAAAGAATACAAAGCAGTTCTATTGCACCAGTCAGGTCCTTGTAAGAAGCCGAAATGCCACATGCATTCTTTTCGGTGCGCTTCAAAGTAGAAGAAATCCGACTACAGACTGAAGACAGGGCTAAAGAGACTGCAAAGCTTGGCGTCAATTTAATGAAAGAGGAGTTGAGCAAAGCGAGTTTCAGAGGTATGGTTACTAAGTTCAAAGTGGTCCTGAACAGCTTATCTTCGAAAAGAGTCTGACTTTATAAAAAAACAGAAAGCTCGACGCGGCATCATCAGCAGAAGCCTCTTGTCTTGTCAAAGCAGCTCTTGTTCAAAAGGCACGCATCTTTTGAGTCAGATCACGACGCAACTCAAAGTTTGTCCTAAACCAGGTTACATACTCCGTGGCCAATCCCGTTGATCATGAAGAGATGAAGAGACTGGTTCCGAAGTCAACAGTCCGTCAGTCCACATGATCCACTCTTCGAGAAGCTTCCGATTATGGGCGTGAGAATTCCTCGACACTGGCCGCTTCGGTACAGATGAATGAAAGATCTGTGCTACTCGAGGCTAGACCGAATCAGACAATCAGGCGTGTTGCGGACCCCCGACCGTCTTTTTTCACGAAAACACAGTCCTTTCAGTTTGCAAGAGCAGAGTCTCGCACTGCTAGGAATTCCGGGAATGTGCACTAACCTCCGGGTCGAGATCCCTGACAACGCTCTTCGATTTCAGAGCCAAGTTGGACACCAGCGCAGCGTACTGGAGGCAAAAAGTCCGACGTCAGCAGTTGTGATAAAGTCAGCATTCCTGACGCATTATGCAGCAGGATACGGTTCTCGGCCAGGTCAATGATCTCTTCGCTAAGGGGGCCTGAGCTTTAAGAACATTTTCATATTCGAAGGGGTTCCGAGCCGGCTTTGTCAGCAGTTTGTAGGCGACAGCGTTCTGTAGCAATCTTCTACGGTGTCTTTGAAACGAAGTCCACTTGCTCTGTTCGATCGTCGAAAAGTCGTGCTTCGGAATCGAGCAAGAACGAGAGCAACACGTGGAGGGACTGCTGTCCTTGAATGCACGTTGCTCACCAGGAAAACTTCGACTGACAGCGGCTTCTACGGGCTTCAAGCGTCTTTAAACAACTCCTGAGACATCAAGAGAACCGTTTCGAATCAAGTTCGTGGATTTGGACCATTCAGCTTACCTGGACGGTGGTCGCACTGTCGAAAGTCGTCCGGATGGGTATGCCGTCCGCGCTGACGACGATAGTCCCAATGACGCCTGCGGCGCAATCTCTCAGCTACTGATGTGCAGCAGGCTTTAAAAATAGACTTTTGAGCTAATGAAAATCACAGAACGCATCAGAGATCCAAGTTGAAAAAGCATAAGCGGGTGTGTTCTGCGCTTGTATGCAGAACAAGTAGAAGGCAGGGAGTTCCATGATGGGATGGAGACTGATTCTGCCAAGCGCCTAACGGACTGAGGCATAGACTGACTGGAGATTTTAAAGTCGATCCATACTTCAGAGGGGGAGATTCTTTGGATACTCTAACACTCTTGGGTAACCTGATCTATGTAACTTCCTGGCCAGTTGTTCGTTTTCTGATAAGAAAGGCATGTCAATCTGGCCCTCACCTTTATGGGAGCTCACACGCTTAAACGTCTCCTCAATCTCCGACTGCAGACAGAAGAATCCCAACTTAGCACCAGTTCCAGTGAATGAAAGCTATCATTCTGGTGCTGCCGCTCAAGTAGCACCGCAGAAGTTGAGATGATGACGCTCCAACCTGTTGCGTGCGCTGAAAGTATCCAGCCAAGGTATCGACCTTGTTTATCTCATTCAGCCTGAATTCAAAGGGATCTGGAAATAAAAACAAACACAGAACCTCAAGTATTTCAAAGTGGACCCCTTGTGCTGGAGAAAACGGCACTGACTCAAGGCCAGGCTCAGTCTTGCTCCCCGGACTTCTGAATCCATTGACAGGGATGTATTGCAGGATTCTGTACACTTTTTCGTGTCATCCTGACAAGCTGACCGTCCTTCTCGTGTTACCAGCGCTGTGCGCCACAAAGATCTGAGAGGTGTCAGAGTGTGCATCACGCAAATTTGAATATTCCGCTTCTAGGTGCACAGAGAAAAGGTCAATCAAGTCTGTCCACTTTGACCACCTATGTCAGCCACGAACCGGCAAGTGGTGGACCACTGTGACACAAAGAATGGCGTCCATCTTTAAGCCCAGAATTACGCCCCCGTAGAGTGTGGTCAAAAGTGTGTGGTCAAAAATGTCTTCAGCTGATGTAGCAACCTCATTTTAAGGACTTACCATTGCTGAGATGCGGGAGCTGGTTCTTGCGCCTCGTGGGGACTCACTAGCCCCGCGAGCTGTAGACTTGTTATGGAGTATCGATAATTGGTCTATTATCTTCAGCAGCTAGAGGGCATGAAACTGGAGCTCTGCTAAGTGGCGATTAGGGGATTTGAACCGCACAGCTTTGCATCAAAAGCTGCGGCTTCCGCGGAAGGCCGACAAACAATCACGAGCTCTCTGCAAGTTCTTCCGGCTAACGCGCCGGCCAACCAGACGTATGACTTGCATCAACGCAGAAATCTTCCACCAGTGACATCAGAAGTTCAAAGCAGAGTTTCAGCGACGTGTGTTCAGGAAGTTCCAGAGCTGAAAGTTTCTGACCGAAGCACTGGGACGTCTGCTGCAGTTTGGACCCCTTTGAATCAAGCTTTTGGCGAGACAAGTGGTGGTGCCGTGCTTGGCGCCTGCTCAACCTGTTCTCACGTTCCGTGCTCATGCGAGGTGCTCCCTGATCAAACCTCATGCGCAGGCTTTGAGTCTAGCTGCTTGGTATGCAGTGCTGAAGTCAGAAGTGCGACAGCCTTTCTCTCCCAAGGGAAACGGCCCGACGACGTCGATCGTCAGGCTGAGAAGTCATCGGACGATCGCGATTGCAGGAAGATGGATATGCGCGCGCACATGTACTTGAAAAGCTGATGCGCTGCTAGTACAGTAGGTAGTGCGGCGCCCATTCCAAAATGCGCATGCATCCTCGTGTGACATTCTGATATCTACATGATAGCGCTTGATGCATTAGGAGGGGCACTCAATTGCGCCTATGAAGAACTGCCTTCCTCTAGATTGGTTCCCTTGGCCTTTCCGCCAGAAGCAGCTGGTGAACAGGTCCGCTAGGATTCCTGACCTGCAGGGCCCTGCATGAGAATGTAGCAGCAAGTTTTCTTAGCTCCAGTTACCTCCAATTCCTGCGTCTGGAGCTCATCGCATGTCAGCAATCATCAAGAGGCCGAGCAGGAAGCCCAAGACTATCCTATACTTAGAGCTAATGATCTTTCTCCGGGGCTCAGATTTCAGTCTGTCAGAAGCTCCCAGCACTTTCCAACAGTAAATGCACGATAGCAGTAGCAATTGGCACTCAAGTATCTAAGGATGGTCTTTACGTTGCAAGAGTGCTACCATGGTTCCCCAAGAAAGCAGAAAGCTAATGCAGCTGGAGGATAATCATCCAACGATCATACTGAACTTAGCTTTCATGCCAACTTCAATGTGACCAAAACAGCAGGTTTAGCTCCAGGCCTGCTCCAGGTCCCCTGTGATTCCCACCATGGCGCGGTCACTTACCCGCATGCCGACTCTAGTTGCTGAGACACGAGAGGAGCGCGTCCATGACCTGGGCGTTGAGTGCCCGTCGCTTTTGGAGTGGAAGCACTGGAGAGCCGGTGGCGAGTACCGGAAGAGTGTCACAGTGCGGAACGTCAGTCAGAAGCACCAGCGTATCAAGTATGCGCTGCCGTCGAGCGGGGCATTCAGGTGGGTGGGGCCGCGGAACCAGTTCACATTTGTCGCTCTGCAAAATATGAGGGGGAGAGCATTGGGTGGAGAAAGCACTGGTTACCAAGATTTAATCTGGGATTTGAGTTCTGATTGCGGTGCCTCTTTACCGCCCTGGTGCCCACACCAAGTATCTTCGTGTTTACCAACTCCGAGAAAGGCTGGACCAACGTCAGACCTTTGGCTGACACACGTGGCACTTGATTCCATGGCAGCAGCTGGAAAGCTGGAGCTCTGCTAGTGTGTCTTAAGTGCATTCGAAGGTCCCCGAGACAGCCACTCCGCCTATTGATTGCCATCGGCTTGTGACAGTTATTCGGCCCCTTGAAGGCCCTACTGAAATGCAGAGAGCGTCTCCGCTCAAGCAGCTTCTGCAAACCACGGGCACCCAGGGGCCTGCTAACCCTGATTGCTGACCCTGATTGCTGACACTGACTCTCGCAGCATGGAGTATCCAGAAGAGCTGCATCTGAGCCCTGGCATGAGCGCGACCCTCGTGGTTATCTTCAAACCCGGGCAGAACCCGGTTTACTCCGACAAGATCATCTTCTCTACGGCCAAAGGGGCGTTTGCGGTGCGTCTGGAGGGAAGGCATCCGGGCGCGGAGCTGGTTATGCCATCGCATCTCGACTTCGGGTTTTGTCCCGTCAAGGAAAGCACACCGCAAGCTTTTGCGGTGAGGTTTTCACGGTTTACTTTCTTCCGCTCGGGGTTTGCCCACTTGTCAGAGATTGACGAAAGTCGACGAACTGACCAAGCTTTCTGAATCGAGCCCTCCTATGCAATGCCAAGTGTGTCTTGGAGTGAATGCAACTATGCCTACAAGCATAACTTCCTGCACCCGTATTGGTGTGCTGCATAGATTACTGGTTTTAGACTGGTTAGAAGACAGTACGATTGGACCAAAAGTTTTATTCATGGCCATTCTGACGCTTCGAAGGTTCCACGTTTCCAGTTTATCAAAGTCGCTCTGATGCCGCAAAGAGCGTGCAGCTTCATTCACTGACCCACTGTCAACACCCTTTCAAATCTTTGAGACGCAAGAAGCTAAGCACCCAATCCCGCCTTTGTTCCAGGTGCGAAACACTGGTCACGTGCCTCTCGCTTTCTCCTGGGAGTGCGTCGCGCCCTTCGGCATAGCCCCAGCGAGAGGGACGTTGCAACCAGGAGAAGCAGCCGAGTGCACGGCGGCGTTTGCTCCCGACGAGGCCTCGTCTTTCACCGCTTCAGTAAGTTGCTCACTTATTGCAAGAAGCTAGCCGCTGCTCTGCTTTTGCCGTTGGATTTCGTCGAAGGGTTTGCTTAAATTTTGGAGTTCCGGGTCCGAAAGTAACGAGCGTTTTAACGAGGGTCTCATTGGGACTGCTCGGACATAGGGAAACTGCAAAGGCTGCCTTGGATCTGCGCAGAACCGATTTGAGAGCTCCGCAAACCCAATTCAGTGCTCGCATGGCGTGTTCTAGTCGGACCGTCTCTTGAACGTCGACGCACTACTTCCAGATTTGCGTCCTGAAAATTCAAACGAGCCGTCTCGATCGGTCTGACTTTGATCCTTCTCAGTGCTACAGTGATGTCAAGTAGCCCTGAATGGAAATATTGATTCACCACTTCTTCCTGAAATTGGGGCCAAGAAGGAGGGGAAAACACGAGGAAAAAGGATGCGGAGTACTTCAAAGTGGAAAAGAGTAAAGAAGAGACAGACGACGCGCACCCACCCGAAGTGTTCGAACAGAGGGCGCTCTTTGTTGATATGGACATTCGATTCATGTCCGCAGGCCACGTGTACGACGTCCGCCGGCGCCACGTCATCGCTCACGCTCGTCGGCGTGGGCAAGTACCCCTTCCTGTCTGCCTCCACCACAGCCGTCGATTTCGGGGAGGTTCTCAGCGGCTCGACCGTCGATCACGAGATTATTCTCACCAACGCGGCCCTCGTGGCGGCTGCGTTCGAGCTCAGGAGTGTGAATGGGGGCGGGGAGGAGCGGGGCATACGGGTGACGCCCACGAGGGGGCGGCTGCTGCCGAACGAAAGGATCGCTTTGAGGGTGAGTCTTTGCTTTGCAACTTTAGTCCTCCTTGGCAAGTTTGATCGACTTGAACATGGTTGAATCTGCCGAAACCCATTTCAGTATCAAGTGCGCCGCAGTTTGTTTTGGGTCTCTTCTCTGGATACTAGGATTAGATAATCCGGTTTTGAGACGCATCTTGAGACCCTGATGCATGACTGCATCAATGTTTGGAGCCCGCTTCAGGGCTAATACATGAATAGATTTCCACGAATAAACATCGGGCTATTGAGAGCCGTCCGTGTCTGGTGGGCTTTCAAAGCAGGGAACGGGTCCTTCGGTTGTTCCACTTCAAGCTAGTCGACGTCCGGAAATTTAGCCGCTCGTTGCGGCAACGTTGCACGGCGTTGCGGAATGTTGCGCAACGTTTCGAGGCGTTGCTGCAACACTAGGTGTCGGCAAGTGTATGGAATCAACGCCAAAAACGTTGCGAGAACTGGTCAAAGCTAAACCAAACTTAAACCCTCGTTGCTGCAACAGAGATGCACGCCTCGCAACAAGTTTACAACGTTGCATGACCGTTAAT